TTTCTTCTGGCGCTTCCTAGCGCATTTTGGCCCAAGTTTTGTTTTTGTTCTCTTTTGGTCCCCTTTTGCTTAACTACTAAGGAATAGGCACAAAACTCATCTCAGGTCGCAGGAACTCCATGAAAGTTACTCGTAGGACTCAAAGGAAGGATTTCCCTCTGCTTTCTCCTCTTCTGACGTTTCTCGGTGCATTTGGATCAAAGTTTCAATTTTGGTACCTTTTTGCTTTGTGGCTACGGAACGCATGCAAAACAAGTTTTCGACCACTGAAACTGTTTCTAAATGACTCCTAGGACTCAAAAAAATGATTTCCCACCGCTCTCTCCTCTTCTGGCGCTTCCTAGCACCTTTTGGCCCAATTTTTAGTTTTAGTCTCTTTTGGTCCCCTTTTGCTTAGAGGCTGAGGAATGAGTGTAAAACTAGTCTCAGGCCACTGAAACTCCATGGAAGTCACTCCTCAGACTCAAAAGAAGGGTTCCCCATCGCTCTCTCCCCTTCTGACGCTTACTGGAGCATTTGGAGAGGAGCATGTATTATAGGATTGAGGTGTACGTTATTCGTGCGACAAAGTACGAGGGCAGTGCTAGTGCGACTGGTATGGTTTACATGTATGATGTATTGTATAAGATTGATAATTACTGGTATGATGTGAAAAGGTCTGGTTTTTGAGTTTACAACTTGTCAAACACGCTTAATCTTAAGATTAGCCCAAATGACTCAAAATGAAAATAACAAAAACTTTTGTAGTATTCTTCTTTCCCTTCTTTAAAAACCTCTCGCGCCCAAAAGATTCACTTCAATTTTTTTTCAGCAGACCAACCCAATAATTTAGATCAATTAGAGGGATAAGTTGGTCATAACATTCTATGCATGACAGACACTATCTGTGTGTGCTATGTAAGATCGCACTTGTATCAGCTATGTGTTCAAATAATGAAACTAAATTCCATGGTTAAGAAAAATTTACAGCAACTTAATGTGTAATCTTGTCTTTCATTACTACCACGTCATACTGTGTGATACCGATATTGAATGTGTTAGGTTGTTGGATTTGTATAAAACATAATCGAATTAAGCTCTCTACATTTTAGATTGTAATTAGAAACAAAACGATATTTATGAAAAAAAACAAACTCCTTTATTTGGAGTGGAACTATGGCCGATATAGCAAGCGAAGTTCAACATCAACTACACAGTAATCAATGCCTAATGCAGAAGCAGAAAAAAGAGGAAGAAGTCATTCAGTTACAAATAGCACTAGCACAACCCTCGTACTTTGTCCAACGAATAATGCGCACCTCAATCCCATAATGCACACTCCTCTCTAATGCAAGGTTTCCTGCCTCCCACCTCTGATCACTAGTCTGCTGCGACAATGATTTCTTCTCTCGCATCCCAAGCCAGTGTAATATATAAAGTCCCTGTTGTCAAGGTCATCTTCGTACCCACCAGAAATAATGACATTCTAGTTTTGCACTCGTTCCTCAGCCGCTAAGCAAAAAGGGACCAAAAGAGACTAAAATCAGAACTTGGGCCAAAAGGCGCTAGGAAATGCTAGAAAAGGAGAGAGCGGTGGGTAACCATTTTTTTTAGTCCTAGGAGTCATTTATAAACAGTTTGAATGGCTGGAAACTAGTTTTGCATGCGTTCCATAGCTGCTAAGCAAAAGGGGACCAAAAAGATACTAAAATTGAAACTTTGATCAAATGCACCGGGAAGCGTCTGAAGAGGAGAGAACGGAGAAGAATCCTTCCTTTGAGTCCTACGAGTAACTTTCATGGAGTTTCTACGACCTGAGATGGGTTTTGTGCCCATTCCTTAGCAACTAAGCAAAATGGGACCAAAACTTGTGGCTGAACGAAGATGTAAAAATTGTTGGGATAATACCTTGTAATGTATAAGGTCTCCATTGTCGAGGTCATTTTCGTACCCACCAGAAACAATAACACTTGTGGCTATGAGTTCCCTACTAGAACTCAGACTCCCAGCAAAATAATCGATCACACCCTGTTAATGACAGTATAACGCAAACACACATGACTCAGCTCCAAAGAAAAAAAAATCTCCAACCATAATATCAGGTATTATCCCAACAATTTTTACATCTTCGTTCAGCCACAAGTTTTGCCCTCTCAGTAGGTCTGTGACTACCATGTCTACCCAAGTTACCTTGTCAAACTTCCACAGACGGAGACAGTCATAGACCAACCTGGTTCTCTTCACCTTTTCATGGTAATCCATCAGCTTCTCCGCCGAGTGAACCACAGTCTTAACCACATGCTTTCATTTTTCGAACGATTGCCGAGTCTAAGACATTGGACTACGAGGAAGAGAAGAAATTTGAAGTGGGCTTTTTGGGCGGGAGAAGTTTTCAAGAAAGGGAGAGAATAATACTCCAGAAGCTTTTAAAGGAAGAGAAGAAAATTGAAGTGGATATTTTGGGCGGGAGAGGTTTTCAAGAAAGGAAAATAAGAATACTATAGAAGTTTTTGTTATTTTTCTTTTGAGTCTTTTGGGCTAATCCTAAGATTAAGCGTGTTTGACAAGTTGTAAACTCGAAAGCCAGACCTTCTCACATCATATCAGTAATTATCAATCTTATACAATGCATCATACACGTAAATCGTACCAGTGACACTAGCACTGCCCTCGTACTTTGTCCCACGAATAATGCACACCTCAATCCCATAATGCATGCTCCTCTCTAATGCAAGGTTTCCTGCCTCCCACCTCTGATCACTAGTTTACCGCGACGACGATTTCTTCTCCTGCCCTCCCAGGCCATTGTAATATATAAGGTCCCCATGTCAAGGTAATCTTTGTACCCACTAGAAATAATAACACTAGTGGCTATGGGTTTCCTAGGAGAACTCATTCTTCAAGGAAGATAATCAATGCCACTCTATTAATGACCATGCAACTCAACTACACACAACTCCGCCCTAAATAGAAACAAATCCCCAACCATAATCCCAGGTATCGCTCCAACGATCTTTACATCTTCGTGCAGCCACAAGTTTGGCCGTCTCATTAGTTTCGCTGTTGCCACGTCCATGCGAGCCACCTTATCAAACTTCCATGCGGATAGAGTCGTAGATCAACTTGGTTCTCCGCACCTTCTCGTGCAAATGCATTAGCTTCTCCAGTGAGTAATTCACAGCAGCCTTAACCAAATGCGTTCGCTTTCTCTTCCTACTCTTTGCTATAGACGCCACCATCCGTTCCTGCCCCTTCTGAGGCACAGGAACGATCGCAGGGTCTGAGACATTGGGTTGCGAGGAATCCATCTCAGTTTTTTCAATAAGCTGAGAGAGAGGTTTTCAAAAAATGAAGAGAAGAAAATTCAAGAAGCTCTTATTATTCTTCTTTTGGGTCTTTTGGACTTATAATCCTAGGATTAAGCAAACTGCGTGTGTCTTAGAGACCTTTCTGGAACCCAAGATACCTTATACATGCATATTAATAACTTGTTTGACACGTTGTTAGCTTAACTAAGACCAACATATCTAGATGAGCTTATAAAATAATAATTTTATTTTAAGACAATATTAAGTATATTTATTAAAAAATTTAAAAATTAATTGAATGGAATAAAATAAGATTTCACCAATGTTATATAGAAGTTTTTTCTCTATGGATGACAAAAAGAGATAGACATGCACTCAAGATACTGTTTGGTTGCTAGTAAGCAAATGGTTGGGATATTTCTTACAGTTTGGGTGAAAAGTTATATAAGAGATAATGTTCACAACATAGAAAGTTTCTTGTGTTGGTGGAGGATTGATGGGATATCTTACAAACAAGGTAAATTTGATCACTTTTAATTTTTTTTAAGACTAGAGTTTATAGGCATTCTCATTGTCTTGGCTTTTCCAGGTTCAACATCAATTAGCATGTCTTTGCACCAAACAAGCTTTTGCTTCATATGTTGTCATTTGACTTATGGACAAAAGGAGGGTGATGAGCTAAGGAAGAATTCAGATGTAATGGAAATACTTGGAAAGACATGGTTTCTCCGAATTCACAGCATAGGTAATGAGAGATCTCCTCAACGATTCTAGAACACGAGTAAGCCTTTTATTCAAGTTTTAGAACTGTTTGATCATATTTATGTATAAAAAATACTTTTTAAGTTGAAAAGAATGTTTAACAATTTACCATAGTTATGTAATTTAAGAAAAAAATAGACCAAATATTAACTTATTTAATATTTTCAGAAATTTATAAAATAATTTCTTAAAAAAATTGACCAAATTACTATTTAAAAAAAAATAAAAAAAAGGACCTTCATCATGTCGTACGAATAAAAATCAAATGAAGTATTTAATACTGAGAAAATACTTTAACTTAATTCAAAATTTGTGATCACTTATAAGTTACGTGTCTATTTAGTCTATAATTATATTTATGATAAAAATATATATTTTAATTAAAAAATGGTAGCTGCAATCAATTTGGTACAAATTCTAATTATATTTAATCATTTAAATTTAATTTTATTCAATTTTAAAATAAATAAACTTTACCTAGTTAGTTTTAGTTTCTTTGAAATGAGATATATCAAATTATTTAATTTAGTTTGTTTGTAAGTATGTTACGGATTTAAATATATTTTTAGTCTTTATATTTTTATAATTTTTTTATTTTACTCCTTCTGCATTATTTTCTATAATTAAGTTCTGCTTTTATGTTTTTTTTTAATCGCATGTTTACTGCTAAAATATGCAGCACGATATAAATATTAAGTAACTATCATCTCTGTGGAAACTGGAAAGTACGCATATAATATATGCCTCAACGTGTATCATTTATTTCATTATTTTTGAATGTATAAACTGATAGAAAATACAATGAAATTATGTGAGATTTTGAGTATGATGAACAAAATACATCAAGCACAGGAACCAAGATTAAGCATTCATTAGGTACCTATTACCCATTACCATGATTCTAAATTTCATATTGATATCAATAGAATGCAGTACTTGTCAATTAGGGATTCAGAAGTACTGGTCTAATTCCTGCAGTTTTCGTGGGCGCTTTTGCTTTGTCATTGTTAATTCTGCTGGTGCTGGTGACAATTTTGGTTGTAGAATCTCAGATTTGGGAGCTTCAGCTATGGCAATGGTTTTGGAAACTGCACCAGGTATAGATAAGTTGATTTCCCGTTATTTTGTCAAATTTTTATACAAGATTGATGGTAGAGGACAATTAACAGAGCTTCTTTTTTATTTGATACTTTTGGATTTAAGATTTCTATAGTTTCTGGAAGAACAAGAAATAAAAATTCATATCATAAATTTAAACAATCACATCCTGCAAAGCCCACAAACAATTGGGTTGAAGAAGAAATGAATAATTTGTTACGTGAAGATTGAAACAATGTAAACGTACATATATTATTAATGTGAAAAATGAAATTTCTATATTTATTAAGTTGTAACATTTATTACGTGCCTAAAAATGTACCACGCATTTATTTAATTTTGTTCGTTCAAAATTATTTTTTTGGGGACAATGTTTTAAATTTCCAAGCAAATTATATTACCTTGTGGGCTTAAGGGAGGTGGAGCAATGGGCGCAAGAGTTGGGTCATTTGATCCAAGTAGAGCCGGGCCTGACAATAAAATAGTTTTAATAATAATACATGGTTTCCGCCTAAAATTCAATTGTTCCAAATTAAAAGTTTCAACCTAAAAAGTTTATATTTTCCCAAAAAACCGTACAAAATTAGTGTTACAAAAATATATGAAAATGAATTTATTATATTTGTTTATCTGTTAAGAATGAAATGGATGGATATAACATATGACAAGATTAATTAAATAGGATAAAGTTGTTATTCTATTGTTTAGAGATATTTTTATAATGAAATGGAAAAAAAAATAACTTTAACTTGTATCTTCAAATTAAAGGAAATAAATATATTGAATGGATTGGAATTGAATATATTCTATCAAGTTTTTTTTTTTTTAAATAACTGAACCTAATACTCTTCTTTCTTTTAAAAATTTTTTAGGACTAAAATAATAATGAAATAAAAAAAGTGTTAGTAAGTGAAAATGCCCTAGCAAAAGCTTCCATAAAATGTGGGGCTGGTTAGTGTTTCCGATTATAAAATATCAAAACAATTGAATACATCAATCAATACCTGGAGCCGGTAAAGGAGAACCAGAGGCTGCAATGTACAAAAACTCTATTATATTAGAAATCCAATTATTTTATTGGGGAACGAAATGGAAAAGGTCATAAAAATTCAGAGTCATTTTAGTTGCAATTGCATGCAATGGAACAAGAATTGCACCTTTGCACAGTGCAGGCATTTCACTTATGTTGCATGCTTGTGGAAGGAAGAGGGCAAGAACTTGGTTTATGGGTAGTTGGAATGGAACGTTGGCTGATAGCAGAAGGCATGCACACTCCATATTAGTGCTTATCAAAGACAGTAATGAATCACAGCACGTATCTGACGGCGTTAGACCCTTATTGGTGCTTCCCGTTATTAAGTTGATGCATGGGGTAACGCTGTTAATCATAGAGGTTGTGCAAGGAGTGCTAATTTGCCCAGTTACCAAATTTACTGAAGTGATTACAAGAGTTGATATCACTGTCATTTGAAAAGCACTGAGCTGTCCCATGAGGATCATCAGTATATTGGCTGTGAGAAGAATTAATGATGAGTTGTCTCATGATTAGATTCAGATAAGGACATGATTTATATTTTGCAATTGCTCCACAATATTCAGGTAGATTAGAACATGATATAGGAGTTCAACTACCTCACCTAACTTACTATTAGATTCATCTTGTCAATATTATTGGAGTTGTAGTTTGGTATGGTTGGCCAGAATTTAGCTTTTTCATATTTTGGGACCAAATTTTTTGTTATCATACCATAATGGCACATTTCATCATTGTGCATCGATTTGCATCACAGTTTTGCATCGATTTACAATTTAAAACTTTTAGAAGATTTAGGCCACGGCTGATCTTCATATTTGTGGCACCAGAGTCAAACACATTCTAGAATATTTTCAAAATTTTTATTATATTAAATAACCGATTAGTTGTAGTCATAGATAAACGCTTTCTTTTAAGAAAAAGTTAGCCTTTATATGCAAACAGGGTAGGCAACCTACATTTACTTGTCCATTTCTTGTAACATTTTTGCTATATAAGTCATACTTGTGTTCCTTTTCTTTCTCATTCAAACATCAATTAGTATCAATATCACAACAAAACGTATCCACATCCAGAGTTTGAGAGTTTTGAACAGTGACAAGTTCCAAGAAATAGAACTATAATGGGTTTTAGAGGGTTTGTCCTGTGTCTAGTTGGGGTGCTGGTGGCCACTATGTGGGCTCAAAATGCAGCCCAACCAGGCTCAGGTTGCACCAGTGCACTCACTGGGTTAAGCCCATGTCTGAACTACATAACGGGAAGTTCCACAACGCCATCAGCTTCATGTTGCTCACAGCTCTCTAGTGTAGTTCAATCTTCGCCACAGTGTCTCTGCTCTGTGCTTAATGGTGGGGGTGCCACTTTTGGAATTACCATAAATCAAACGCTTGCTCTGTCTCTCCCTGCCGCTTGTAAAGTGCAAACTCCCCCTGCTAGTCAATGCAAAGGTAATAAATAATATGCTTTTTTAATTGTACAAACCCCTATTTTATTTTTTATTTTAAACTACAAGTAAAACTAAGTTATATATTGGCTAAGAATAAATAGGCTCTTATTAACCAATAGTTTAGAGATATTTATTAAAGAATTTAAAATATTTTTTATTAGCATCACTTTAAGATACATTTAAAATTATAAAAAAAAATTGTATTAATAAATTTGGTAATATGCCCTTTTGAGATGCCAATTAGCATCTGTTTAATAAATACTAACTTCGTTCTATGTCATGAATTTAATTAGCCGGCAATGGAGCAACACCTCCATCGTCAGCACCAGTTGGTTCACCATCTGATTCTTCAGCTGAATCACCCGATGGCTCAATTACACCTTCTGCTTCAGATTTTCCCTCAGGTATACAGCAGTCTGGAGTTGTATAATAAACTTGAAATATTCATTTTGTAGGTAAGTTGCGTGCACTAAAATAATTAATGGATAATTTTTAAAATAATAGAATGTCAGTCATTGATTCACATAGTTCACATAGACATTACAATTGCTAGTCATTGATAAGGTTATATCGGCACATGAATTACAAGCATAAATATAGCAGAAAATGATGTTATTATAAGGTTTTTTTGGTGAATTGCAGGAGGTGGAGGATCTAAAACTGTCCCATCAACAAACGGTGGTTCATCCGGTGGAGGTACTAATAGAGTCCCTTCACACTTGGTGCTCTATCTTCTTGCAATTGTGTCTTGTGTCTCCACCTTCACGATGTTCTGATTTCGAGTCAACACAGATTTGGGTGCTGAAATTTTATGTTTAGCTTTTGTTGCGATTGAGTAGAAGATATCTGTATAAATAAGGAATATTCAATAGAGGAATTTGATGTTGAGTTACTTTTTCAAGCTGATGGACTGCTATTTGCTATATAATAGATGGGCTTCACTATTTTACCCATGCAGCTAAACAAAAGCAATTTAATAATTTTTATAACAAAATTGTAAACTATTTCATAAATTCAACTAAAATTTTCCAGATGCCACAAATTGTTTGACAACAGTTTTGCATGGTAGTTAATAATTTTAACACTAAAAAGTTAATTATTGTTCTTACACAAATTGTGTGAATTGTACACCAAAACAATTTTAATTATTTACGTTCATAAAAAAATTAAATAAAAAATAAACAACAAAAATCTTAAAAAAGAAGATAACTAAGAACTAAAATAATTTTTTTAGTAAAATGTGTAATTTAAACTTTTATAGTTATTATTATAATTTAAATTATTTAACTATTATAATAATTCATTTATATTTTTTATACTTATAAAAAAAGTGTGAGAATAAAATATCAAAATAAATTGCTCAAAATCAGGCCCAACCCTTCCCTAGGCCCACTCATTTTTCTGGATAACAACGCAAGGATTGCATGTGGTATGAGTTATCAGATTTTACCTTTTTTACAGTATTTTTTTTGCAATCGCAACTTTTTTTTATCTCTTAAAAATAAAATTTTGAAAGATATTAATAGTCTTTAAAAATTAAATTCCGGAAACAGAAGGACGGTGCAAAATGAAGAAGCCAAGCAATTATTGGTCCCTGAACTTAAAATTTAAGGGCCTAATTAGATAAGACACGTTCTATTTTATTATTTAATTATTTAGCCTATAAAAACAATTTTTATGACGAGGATTAACTGCAGTTAAAAAATTATCCGTAGGAAATTATGTTTTACCTAAAAGGAAGTTAAATGATCAATAATAATCACATGAACAACAAATTAATACTAAAACTGATTAGTGTTACGCTAAATTCCAATTGAGGATAATCGATAACCACGTTCATAAACAAAACAAGATGAGTTTCGCTTCCTTGAGCTTTATAATTGGAATTGGTTAGTTTAGCTTGGATTTTGTCGATTGTATAAAATAAAATACAAAAAACTGGGTGCAGAACTCGATTCAGATGGTGACAATTTTTATAATGACCTATCGACAGTATTATGATATATTTCTATTTTAACTCTAGCCAATCTTTCTAGCAGGGGAATTGGATAAACAATGCCTCTTTTGCTCAATGATTGAGTTCTTGCAATCTTCCCTTTCTCCGCCGCAATTGAAAATAAAGCGACACAAATAACTGAAAATAAAATGAATTGATACATGTTAAAAATATCACTCTAGAACAAGAAATTCTAAATAATCCTTTTTGGGTTTAGTATCACCAGGCTCTTTATAATCCTCCCTTAAACGTAATGGCCTAATGGGTGACAAGATAATTCAAAAATTGTTGGCTTCTGCCTAGTGGTACCTTTAACATCACTGCTACAGCATCAAACGGTTTCCCTACATGAAATTTACCATTATATGCTGCTAAATTGACCCAATCAATTGATTAAAAGTCCAAATTGTGACAAAAATTGACCATCTATTGGAAACTGTCTACATACCCTTTTTAAGGGACAATCAAACATAAATTTAGGTATTGATTTTGAACACCATCGACCTACACTACACATTTCCTTGTGTCAATATATTCCTCATTCCGCAATCATTTACAAATTGAAGAGATATTTGGAGCCTAAAGCAGATGGAGCCATGCACAGAGCCAAAAGGGATCAAGTGGGGTCTAATTCTGGTACCAGTGACTATGTTCTGTCTCTAAACTCAATCAAGTTGCACGGGACACACTTTTGTTTATGTCACATAAAACTCCACAACCACATTCTCTTGCTGCCGACATCTCCATTTAATCATTTTTTCATCTTTATATTTTCTTCAATTCTTTGCCCCCAGCAGGCTCATGTGTCTTTCCACTTTCTACCTTATCTTGATCTCATTTCTCCAATTGGTTTCTTCTCACAACATGCCAATTTCCCTTCAACTCCCTAACTTAGTGACCCTCCCCACTAAAAAAAAAAGTGTTCGATTTGCTTCATGTATGTGTCAATAATGGCAAAATCATATTATGATATATATCATTATCCAAAAAAAATAAAATGCTAATGCCTAGTATTTATTTTTCACATGTAAGTTAATTTCCGGTTGGTATAAGGTGTTGATCTAATACTGCTCCATCTCTTACACATTCACTGAACAACTATAATTTTTCTCTAGTCTTTGCTACGACTTTGACTTTTACCTTCATGTCACGACGTAGACTTTTATTGTCTCCTTTACTTTAACTTCCTCTTTCAATTCCATTCGAGTTGAACCGTCGCAAAATAATTGTAAGTTTTTTTTGCCATATTATTATATTATTTTATCAATTATTTTATATTTTAATAAGTTATTTTATCAACTATTAACCAAATATGCAACTTCCATTCCTGTTTAAATTAATAGTTTGATAACATCTCTTTTTCATTATCCTCGTATTTGATTGAAACTGCATGATATCTAGAAATGGTTTTTCTGTTTAACTGTTTGTATATGCTGACAATGAGTTCATATTTGCATTGCAACTTATGAATGACGTGTTCTGGGCGATTAATACGAATCTGTTCTGAAATCCTTTTTTTTTCTTCTCACAAATAGTCTTCAAAACAAAAATACAACTATACAAGTGACACAACTGATTGAAATTGTAAAGAACTAGATATGATCCCTAACACAAGAAATATATAAGTAAATTGATTCCCTTGTCCTTTGTATATTACTTCTCTTTCTTTTTTTTTAATGGTTTTATTACTATTTTTTGGTATCCCCTTTTCCACGTTTCCACGTGCATTTTTCATGCGTCAACCTAACTTGAATTTTCGTTGAAGTATTGCATAACCTCTCAAGCTTGGGCAAGAGGAAAACAATGTTAGGGAGAGCAAAAAAAATATTCGAGATTCAAGAGACATGAGAAGAAGGTTTAGGGAATAAAATAAAAATAATATTTGTTGAAAAATGGACAGGCAATTGTACCGAGCAGATGTGAAGGAGATTGATAGTTTACTTGACAACATTAATGGATAAGGTAATCAGTTTAATTAAAAGTTTTTGATAAAATTAATTGTTAAATTAGCTTTAAAGTTTGAATGAGTAAAACAAATTACTAAAACATAATTTTTAAAAAAAGGAAAAAAAATCATCTAATAGATGAAAACTAGCATTTCAAGAGATGCTACTAACTACTTTATCAAATGATAATACTTTTATTAAACAAATTTTTTTAACTAATAAAATATATTTTTAGAAAGTTAAAAGGTCTTTCCAAACATTCTTTGATTTAACTTGAACTTAATAAAAGTTGTCATTATTTCTTTTAAGAGTAGTTGTATTTATATTTAATTTTTACTTATTTTTTACATCATATATATTATTAATTTTTTATTCTTTTAAAAAATGTAATTTTTATTTTTAAATTTTTAAACAACCTTCTTATAAAATAATGTTTTAATTTTATCTATTTAGTCTTTTTAAATTTCACGAATTTTTATTATATAATCTTTTATTTTAGGATAATTATACGAAATATTTATGCAAATTAATTGGTATAAATATCAATTTTAACGCTTAAAAAAATGGTACCAAAAAATGATTTGGAAAAAAGCATGAGGGAAGGGGTTAGTGAGAGAAGAATAACGACAACGTTAACGTTGGCTTCTGTTGTAAGTTGTAAGTGGTAACTCTTCAACTCACTCGTTTCCTTAGCCGTGCAAGTTTTGTTAGCAGCGCACGCAGTGGCACCCTCTTCTTCTTCGTTTTCCTCTCTCTCTCTCTCTCTCTCGCTCTCTCTAAACTCAACACTCTCAATCACACCCATATCCCTTCCTTATTCGCTCTTGTCTTCTCTTTTCAGGTAAACCTCTTTGTTTTCTCTCTCTCTGTTAAGCAATTTTTTTTTTCTAAAAAAATTATTTTTATTACTCGAATCGTTACCACCGGATGATGACGAATTTGCATAGATTTTTGTTTTATTTGAAGTTGATCGATATCCCATTTCTTCATTTATCTTGAATTTCAACGGGGTTTTGTTTTACGACTCAAGAAAATTCTTGGACATGCTCTTCCTTTAAAAAAAAAAAAAATAATTATCCGGTGCTGAAATGTTAGGGTTGGAATACGACGTTGGAGGTTAATAGCGAGTTAGTCACCGTTTGGCCTCTATATTGCCCAAACTCTTTGTAAAATGCGTTTGCGTTTTTTGTTTTTTGTTTTTTTGTTTTTTTGTTTTTTTGTTTTTTCTAGTTATTATGTTTTCAGGAAATTTCAGTTTTGGATCATATATTAAAGCTTGGAACTGATGTTGTTTTTTCAATCAATTTTCCTTTTTTCCCTTGGTGTTAATTAATTGTTTCTGTTTTAGAATCCATGCACAGAATACTGTTAAACCGAAGCACTTTCCTAAACTTTTTGTGTCCAAATGATGACCGTGTTTGCTTTTCCTTCTCTCTGTCTCTCTTCTATTGGTGCCGTGCTTGGTTTTCTTGGCTATGTTCCAACAAGCTAATATAGAATCTTTGCATTTGTTTCTGTAGCTTCAAATTTCCAATGGAGTTCATTTGACCTTTTACTATGCCTTTTTTTTATTATATCACTAGTCTCAATTTAAGTAATTCATTCTTTTCTAGACAAACAAAGATATCATACTCTTGTTTGGGCATGATGAGGAAAGCTATGCTGGCATGATCTACTTACAATTTCAGTGGCTTTTATGTCTCTGATGTTGTTATTTTCTTTCCTGCTCACTTTTCTGTTGTTTCTGTTTTTGTTGCTTTGGCATTGGAATCAGAAATTTATTGTTGGAAGTTTCGTGATCCATACCGCTACCTTGACCCTTTAGTATGTGTTTTCTGTAGTTTAGGATCCCGACCTTTGGAAATTAATGACAAAGCTTACAGAGGGTCTATGTCACTGTTATAAACTGGTCCAGGCATGGAAATGTGACTGGTCTTTGGTTCTAACTTCTAACCCACCCCAGATCTCAGATATGAGAACTGGAAATATCATTCCTTCTGTACTGAAAGAAAAGTAAAAATAGAATAGCATTCCTAATCTAAGATGTTTTGTGGATGATCTGAGAATTAGGTTCTGCATGTTAGTTTAGCACTATAAGAAGTATCATTCTCATGAATTAATTGAAGAATGAAGTCAAAACTTGAACTTGTTTGCAATAAATGGATGGAAATTTTATTTGAAAGGTAGATCACTGTTGTCCTTTTATATAGGTAATCAACATAATACGATGTTGGGTTGCATTATGTGTTTAAAAAGTAGAGCAAAATGATGCAGTTTGTCATTGCAGTAGCAGCTTTTATCATTAAATTGTCTAAACTTAACAGAATATGTCCTTAATTATAGGTGAGTGAGGCTGCAAAACTTTGAACACTGGGCTGGTTGCCATGAGTAATTGTAATTTTTGTGAAGGAACAATCAAACTATAGATCAATTGTGTTTTCTTAACTTATCTGAGGTGAGCAGAAAGAGACAATGTTCTCTAAGTAATACTCAGTTCAATTCTTAGATGGTACAGAGTAGGTAGATATTATACTGATGATTGAAGACTATGAGAACACATCAGACAGTTGCTTGTGGTAAAGGATTGAAAGTGTTTTACTTTAGAGTTCAGAATATCTTTTAATAAAAATCTTATCTAATTGGCTTCTCTATGGGGGATTTTGGGGGCACAAATGTTCATGTGCCAGAGTATCTATATCGTTTCCATGACTTTTAGATTGAGGGGACAGACGGACCACTTACTTGAGATTGTTTGGGTCTGTATGTGACTCTAATTTAGACTTACTATTTACCATTATAAAAAAGGAGGCCCGATGCAATAAAGCTCCTGCCTTGCATGGAGTCCACTGAAGGGACAGACCTACAAAATGAATGAAAAAATTGAATGTAATTTTTGCATGTAATTCAACATTTTCTTGCTTGCAGTTAGTTGTAAAACTTGTATCTTTTGTATGGTTTTAAATGTAGAAATTTCAATGACAAATGGCTTATATGAAGGGAGAAAAGAACATGATGAGACATATTTTCAGATTTATTTCATTTCATTTGTTTTGGGTGACACCTATTCTGCAAACTCCCATTTTTTCAAATATAAAATAAATTGGTTATGCTTTGTGTTGTGGTTGCAAGCAACAATTTCTCATTCAAAATGTATCCATACCATTCTAATGATCATGGCTTTCAAATTAGTAATGCTTTTCATGTATTGCATTTTTATTACTCAAGTATTACAGTTTTAGTGTGCATAACTGGGTACATGTTCTGAATGTAGGTGCACTTTACAGTAGAGCAGTAGGTGGAGAATTATCAGACAGATGAAATAGCAATTATTATGTCTGGACTGATTGAAGGACTTCCTGATGCTGTTGCAATCAGGTGTCTTGCACGGGTTCCCTTCTACCTCCTTCCAAAGTTAGAGCTTGTCTCTCGTTCTTGGCAAGCAGTTGTTCGTGGCCCTGAACTATTCAAAGCTCGACAGGAGGTTGGTTCATCTGAGGACTTGTTGTGTGTCTGTTCTTTTGACCCAGAGAACTTATGGCAGTTGTATGACCCTCTGCGAGATCTCTGGATTAGTCTTCCTGTTCTACCATCAAGAATCAGACACCTTTCACATTTTGGTGCTGTCTCCACTGCTGGAAAGTTGTTTGTGATTGGTGGTGGAAGTGATGCTGTGGATCCTTTGACTGGTGATCAAGATGGGTGTTTTGCAACAGATGAAGTATGGTCATATGACCCTGTAGTACGACAGTGGTCCCCCCGTGCAGCAATGCTTGTTCCTCGTTCTATGTTTGCATGCTGTGTTTCAAATGGAAAAATAATTGTGGCTGGGGGCTTCACCAGCTGCAGAAAATCAATATCTCAAGCAGAAATGTATGACCCTGAGAAGGATGTTTGGATTCCAATGCCTGATCTTCATCGCACCCATAATTCAGCCTGTTCAGGAGTAGTGATTGGAGGAAAGGTGCATGTACTGCACAAGGATATGTCAACAGTTCAAGTTTTAGACAATGCTGGAACTATGTGGACGGTTGAAGAACGTGGGTGGCTCCAAGGTCCTATGGCAGTTGCTGGGAATGTACTTTATGTGATGAGACATGGATTCATTATCAAACAAGACAAAAAAATGAGAAAGGTCGTTGGTTCAGCTTCTGAGTTTCGAAAGAGAATTGGATTTGCGATGATTGGTTTAGGTGATGATTTATATGTGATTGGAGGTGTCATTGGCCCTGACAGGTGGAATTGGAACATTCAGCCATTGTCTGATGTTGATGTTCTCACACTTGGGAGTGAAAGACCAACTTGGCGCCAGGCAGCTCCAATGACCCAGTGTGGTGGTACCATTCTTGGTTGTACCCCACTGAGAATTTAAACTTTCACTTTCCAGGCTTATGTAATTTGTGCTCCTATTTGGGAATCTGAATTCCTTCAACTGGAGACAAAGAAATAGCTGTTCAATGTCTACCTTGAGTTATATGTAAGCCATAACATTTATCCTTGTTTTTTTGTTGACTACATATGCGGCAATAAGACGAGGTGATGTTTGAAGCAAAACAATAAAGGTCAAATTTTGCAATTTTGCGCTGGTAAACAGGCAACTAAATTCGTTGCTACTAAATCTTGCAATTTACGATAAAGTTTTTGCTGTTCCCCTTTTTCTATCTTTGCAAAGGTAGCCCAGACGGATTATGTTCGAAAAGTTTCACTGTCTCGTCATTTAACCACGTTGCAATTGAACTACATATTAAATGGATATTTCATTATCTCATTTTACATATTTATCATCGTAATAGTTGAGGGCTCGGACTGTATATTTTAGTTGAAATACATTTCTTCGCTTGACTCGGGAAGATATTTCAGTGTGCAAATCTTTAGTTTATAGAGTACGATCTCGATAAAATTGGATTTGACTCATAACAAAGTTGTTTGGAAGGAAGATGATCCATACCCGTTACACTAGCATTCCGTTTTACGGCCTTTACGGGATACTCAGCAGGTAGTCGAATTGGGTTGGATAGGCAAGGCGTGGGGAGAGTTGAATAAGAAGCCTTGAAGTCCCACACCGATGAAATATGAAGTTGGAAAAGGTAGCATCTGCTATAAAATAGAAGGTAGGCCGACAATTGCAATATACTTACCTGGACGGGGTCAATGGGCGATCATGAAGGCTCATGGCCTAGACTTGTGACTTCCATTGCACTTTGGAGGGGCGCTAGTCTAAGGTCTACCCAAGTGGTGGAGCCTACGTCATAATTTGTGGTAGTGGGGGCCTGCGTTCGCGCGGCCCCTTCCTAGTGAATCCCAAAGTTTTAATGAAGTAGTTTAGGGTGAATGTGGGTGCCGTAAAGGCCCAATTTAAATTTACTTATAAAATGTGTCAATTGAAGTCAGTCGGCAAAGATTAAAATTTCTTTAACTGTATGCACTAATGTTCAAGTTTATATATTACCTTTATTCGGAATATGTAGAAAATGATGTTAGAAGGTGAGCTTATTAAACAGTAAGCTAATAGATTATTGCAGATGTGTACGGCCATGAAATAAAATTGTTTTCTGATTGAAGAATTGCAAATTACTAACGTGCATGGAGTGAGGTGAGTGGATGATATAGTGAACTGGGGAAAGCCTTTGTGCTGTGCTATGTAAATGTAATAGTTTCTGCTTATATTTGGGAATAAGCAGCAAGATGCGACATGAGAGGGAAGGGAAGCTAACAAATGTTGAAGCGGGCAACTGGCAGCTCTAATTAGCCAGCTATTAATTTATGGACATGAAAGAGAGAAACTTTTCTGTCGTGATCAATTTTGAGTTCGTTTACTGCACTTTGGACTCAAGTCAAACTTCGACTAGCTTATTCTAGGTTCACCTTTAAGTTATGCATTCATTTTTTATCTGCTTGTTTTGGGCAACATCCATTGAAAAAAGCACGCCCCACCGTTCCAATTTAGAGAAATTTTTTCACCCTAAAGTTTCTTGAAGTTGAGAACCCTGTTATTAGTAAGAATTATATTCCCTGATCATGGCAACATTACTTTAGCTCTTGCCTATGCAATTTAAGCTTTGGAGTTTGGTCCCAGTGTCTAACTTCTCATATCAAGTGAACCTTCAATCATCTTTATTGCATATTCTTGATGCAAGTATAATAGAAATTTTTATTTTATTAATTTTATTCCCAAATTTATTGCTATTGCTTCTATTTATTTTTGCAATCTATTTTCCATTTCATTCATCACATCATTCTTACATGCTTCTTTGTTTAAATGTGTCTTCTGCAGAAATTTTCCACAGATGATTAGTTTATGTTAGAACCAGTAGTTGATTTTAAAACTCGTGCAAGCTAATGCTTCTACCCATTGAATGAGAATTTTGTATATTGGTTCAGTATTCTCTATAAATATCCATATTACAGATTACTACTTTGCAATCAATAAATGGAGTTCACGAGTTACAGTGTTTCTGTTTTGGTCATGCAGAGTGAAACTAGCTCCTATAACCTATTAGTCACATACTTATTATATATGATAATAATGATAATAACAACATTTAATGATTATAGATAACGAGTGTTTCTTATACCCTTTTGAATTTTATCCATTTCAAATTATTAAGATTATCTTGAAAGAATTTCAGAACTCTGGATAGTGGATATTATCAGCAGAATTTTTTCCCCTATGTGGCCTCTTCTAACATGGGTGAAGTTGATGTGTTGTTTATTATTTCCAAAATGGTCTCTTGCATTGGATTCGTTCATGCTCATAATTGCCCTAAAGCCTTCTTATCTCTTGAAGTGGTGATTCAAAGGTGAGCAATTAAAATCACCTTTCACAATTCATGCCACCTTACTTATTTTGTTTATAATTTTCTTTTGAATAAAGTGATTTGGATTGCTTTCTGCAAGTGAGATTATGGGATACCTCTTCTGGAGCATTGCTAGATACTAGTGAGGTTGCCATGAAGTGTTTCTATAGATCCCAGAGGCTCCAGGAAGATATAGATAATGTTGGAAGTTTGAGTTTGTAAAATATCACTTAGAAATATAGATAATCAAATGGGTTAGTTTTAGTGTATTTTAACCCTCTAAATTTGTCTAATATGATATGCTACCTGCTGCACGTTAAAATAGGAGTATAGAATAAATTCAAACCGTTAAATCAGTTAAAAAATTTAAAATCAAATATATCATAAAATAGAAAAGGAATAAAATCATACTGTTTAATTTTTTATTTCATTTTCAAAATCAAACTAAACCACAAAATATTAATTTTATATTGTATTTTTATATAAATATTAATTTGAAGTATATTTTACTAAATACATTTGTATTTTTTAAAAGAAAAACTTGAGATTATTATAATTTGTTTTGTAATTTAGATTAAGTTGTGATTTATGATGGGATTTAATATTTTTTATTATTTTTGTATAATTACTATGTATATAAGTTTTTATTTATTAAGGAGTGTTTCTTAAATAAAAGAATTAGTTACTGAAAAAGTTAAAGAATTTATGCGATTGAGATTCAATTCTTCTTCTAATTAATAAAATTTCTTTTATTTTCTAATTAAATTGTATTTTAAAAAAAAGAAAATATGTGAAATATTAATTCAATTCAAACTGTAAATTATCAGTTTAAATTTATTCAATTATAATATTATTCTTAAATTGATATAAATTCTCAAATTGCTCTAAACTGAATTGCAAACACTCCTACATTAAAAAAAATACAGTCAAGTTTTACAATTTTTTTTCTTTAAATCTGATTAAACTACAATAAGAAAATGCCAAAATAACTTGTTTAACCCATTAACTTATGTTGTTTATTTTTTTGATAAATTAAATCATGAAGCCGCAATAAAGCGTGGCGAATTGATATTGTAATTAACTCATCAATAGAACATGGGTCAGTACTAACCACAAAATCTTATTTTGAATAACACCACAAGCATTTTTAAGTGTTGTAAAACCAATCAAACTCATGAATTCAATTGTAACGAAAAAAAAAACTCATGAACTCAATCATCTTAATTTAATAAAAAAATTATTGAGCTGGATATCGAATTATACATTTTTGAAAATAATAAAGTCGACTTGTTCAACTCCTGAACTGCTTTTTTATTTTAATTTGTATTAATAATATTTAAAAAATTAAAAGTAAATATTCAAATATCTGCCTAATATGTTTTATTTTCAAATGTTATTTAATCCTAAAAATTATATTTTTATTTTAAAAATTACAATTACAAAATACATAATAATCTAGCATATTACATATCAAGATCCAACCCAAGTTTGATTTAGTTGAAAATTTTCAACCAATACAATTCAACTGAACCAAATTAAGTTTATTAAAAAAAATGAATTTTATTTTCAGTCAAACTCGATGTAATCTAATATATGATAATCCTACTTGTAATAAGTCAGATAAGTTAATTTACTTTTTTCTTTAAACTTGTTGAGAAGTATAACCTTAATAACTTAAAGAAAAAGAAAACTTTAATGACCAGAATATCAAGTATGGGTATATAAGTATTTAATAGGTAAAATATGAATAATGAAGTTATTACTCATGTACGTACAAATTTGGGTATAAGTATTTTTGTAAGAAAACATAGGTACGGAAATGAAGTGATATGTCTTACCAAATCTTACCTGTTATTATTTCTAGTAGCTAACCATCAAATCACAAACTAAAACAATAAAATTACCATCAAAATACAGAAATCAAGATGAAATAAATGTTTAAAATTATGATCTGTTACTTGGTTCATTAATATAAGGCTCTTTTATTTTATTTTTTTAACTCTCTTAAACCCCAAACAATTAGTATCAAATATTCTTTCTCCTTCACTTTATTTGTGAATCAAATAAAGGGGCTCACCCTTTTATTCAAATTCAATCAAATCAAAGAAAAAGACTTTCTTTCTATTTTTTTCTATTAAATTTTTTCTTCTTCTTTTAAATCAAATATAATGCAAGGTTTCAAGTGTCTTTAGCAAGGAAATGCTTGGAACTTCCTTAAAACACTTTCTTAAAAACTCTATTATTGCCATGCAAATCTGAGATTTATTTTTAGAATACATTTAGGGGTAAGATTCTAGAGAGGAGAGAGAGAATGTAATTGTTTGTTTTTAATACATTTTAAAATAAAATAATAAATTAATAATATTTAGCTGACACAAACTTATTCAATTAAAAAAAGAAGCTTTGAATGTTTTATTTTTGATGAATTTGAATTATTGAAATGGTAGAAGCGTAGAAGGGTGGAAATACGTAACGTGGATGGGTCCCACGGGAGAATGTACGTATTTGGGGGTGGGGTGAAGCAATGCATAAAAGTTGCTGCCTGTTCCCTTCAGATTGGGCCCACCATTTCCTTAAGCCCAAAATATTTTTCTTTGATTTCCATTTATGTCCCCACACTTTCTGATTGAGTAGATGGACCACCCACTCACTGCAAACCCACTACGTTATGTTTTGCTCAAGTGGCTAAGTGCAATGCTAACCTTTGTTGGCCATCTCTCACACGGATTAGTTTCCTTAAACCTATTTTGACGTGTAAAGTGAACTTCATGTTGATCTTTAATTTATAATAGAAAACAGTGTTAACTAATATAAATTAACACATATTTTTAATTTATATTCTTAAAATACTGATTAAGTTTTATATATATATATATTAATCCAATAAAAATGGCATATCAATATTACGAAGGTTTCTAATCTATCAACAAAGCTCAATTTTGTGATGCATCAAATGCATTAATTTATTACAAATGGTTCAAGATGCTCAATAATGTAAAGCCTACAAGTTCAAAAGCATCCAACTTCAAATATAAATGCCCAAAAAAGGTAACAAACTGATTAATTCAGACTTATGAATTTTAATTTACGACGCAACAATTTAAAATAAAATGCTTACAATCAAATATGCATTGTGTATTCGAAGTACATTTTCAATTAAACTTGAATACTTGGTTTCAACAAATGAGCTAAAAAACTTTGTCATTATGTGATTTCACGTGGCATGTTGCACAAGTTACGTTATAGAATCAGCATGTGGAAATTATTTATTCAAGAAAAATAGTTTAACATTTGATAGATTACCTCAACTCACAAATAAAGTGATTTATACAAGATAGAGTACACTAAATCCCAGCCATCTTAATGCACAATGAATGAAAGATAAAACTGCAAGAGTTCATGCAAATCCTTTGCTCAAATTCATTAGAGTAAATTGAGAACTTTGACCATTTAAATTTAAGCGTTTCAACATAATTATTTTCTTTTAAATTTATACATGCACAATTCATATAAACTTGCTAGTTAATGAAAAGAATCCAAGTTCAACCACACAGTTGAAACTTAATTAGAATTAATCACCTCATCTTAGCTCAATTTGTTAAACTACAGGACATATGCCTATTGTTCTCCTCTTCAATACATTCTCCCTTTTCTCATTTCTTTATTTTGCATATAAAATTTTAATCAGACTGGAAAATTCTTAGAATTAGTCAAAAAAAATCTATATTCACCTTATCTGAAAAATTTAAATAAGAAAAGAAAAAAAAAAGTTTGAAATTATCTTAATTGTTGCATTCATTTGTCATAACGTAGATCTAAGGGACAACAATAAATAAGGACAACAATGTTATTTAATTAGTTACGGAAAATAATCAAATTGTATAATTTTAAGTAATGGTTATTAGTTTAAGTAATAAAGAGTTCATTAATCTTTAAACAAAATTTTTGGTTTAAAATCTGTAAATGAAAAAATAGACACTGAAAGAGATTTATCTCTTTAAATGAAATTGTTAGGGTTATATTTTATATTTTTATTTTTATCTACAACTAAACTTCTAAATTAAGAATATATATTGTATTATTATTAGTTTTTATTTACAATATTTTTGTATAGTGATTTTATTTATGTAAAAAAATTATTTTTAGATATTAACATATATTTTTGTATATATTTATATTAAAATTATATTTTTAAAATTTTAAATATTAATTAAATAAATAAAATTTATTTTTTTATATATTAGTTGGATGATTTATTTTTTAAAAAAATATTATATCATTCTTTTATAATGATATCGTAAAAATTTTATTAATAATTTTAATTTATTATTAAAAATAAATAATTTATCATATAAATTTAAGCTAATAACTATAAACAAATGCATGTAAAAAATTATAGGATATTTTATTTAAATTTATAACTCATTAAATTTTTTTATTATATTTAATAAATTATTATTATAACTATTTATTTTAAAATTTTATAATAACGAATAATTTTATAATATAATGAAACAATATATATTCTATTTTTAAATTTAGAAATAAAAAAATTTATACAATTTAAAATTAATTTTGTAATTTTATCATAAATCTTTTTTAATCTATCAAATATTTTAACTCTAAAAAATATTAAATTATACACATTTCAATTTTACATTACTGTTTTAATATTATGATATTTTTTAAATAAATTAATTTATATAACAACTAAAAAATTAATATATTTTAATTTGCATACATTACAATATAAATTTTTTATGCATTTATACTGAAATTATTATTATTATTATTTTTTTTAATAAAATTATAACAGTAATAAAATATTTTCTTTATTTATACTTTACTTTATTAACATATTCCATTTAAGTATAGCATTTTAATTTTATTTATTTTTATTTATTAATAAATAACTAAAATTAAAAAAAATATTAAAAACATGTATTATGTTATTATTAATTTATTATGTATCATATTTTTATAAATTAACTTATTTTTCATAATCATAAAAAATATACTTTTTAAGTAGTAAATAAAATATTTTTTAATATTATCATTAATTTTTTAAAAAAAATTAAAGGTTTATAGAAATTTTTTAAGTATATTGATATTTATTTATTTATCTTTTAAAATGTATTATAATTATTACTATATGAAATTTATTTATTATATTATATTTTAAAATAACTAATAATATATATTATAATTTATATTAAAATTAATTAATTAATTTTTTAAGATTTTACATATTTAATATAATAATTTTTTATTATATATATTTTATTTTAAAATAAATTTATTTAATAAAAATAAAATAAGTGTATGCAACGCACATACATATTTATTAGTAATTATTAGTTTTAAATAATAAAGAGTTACTTTATTTTTAAACAAAATTTTAAGTTTAAAATCTGTAAATGAAAAAATAGACACCGAAAGAGATTTATCTTTTCAAATGAAATTGTTAGAGTTAACTTAAATAACTGAATTTAATGTAACTTTAAGTCTCAAACCAAAAATTGTATAGTTCTATATATATATATGATAATTAATTTGCATTATAATATATAATTATATATCTCAGAATATATTTGTAAATAAATGAATAGAAAAGTAGACATGTAAGATTGGTGTATTTTTTGCATTATTATAAATTAGAACTGTATATTTTATAAAAAAAATAAAAAAACTAATTTGTTTTATAACTAATTATGAGTTATCATACTTTAAAAATACAGATGAGTTATTCTTCATGTTCTTATTTATACAATAGTTATGATTTCCTTTTGTTTCGGTTTCTTTGTTCGAAAGCACATCAGAGTCAGGACAAAATACATTGGATCAGTCATCAGTGAATAAAGGATAGAAAAAGACAAACTAAATAATGAAAAAAATTAAGAAAGTCAGTTCGATTAATGAGACGGTTGGGATTTAGAGGGAGAAAAACAATATCATATTAAAAAAAAATCGAAAATGAAAAGCAAAACTTCGAAGTATTAACGTTTGATTTTCATGCACACAACATATCTTTTGCTTTTTCTTCCTTTAAAAGCTATGTTACTCTCTATCTCTCTCTTCTAAGTTGAAAGCTTCCCTTTCTTTTCTCTCTTTCTCCTTAAAGTTTCAGGAACTAAATCTGAAAAACAAATCTAATAAGCAGTACGTGTAGCACTAACATAGCCTTCTTGGAGTGATTATGATGGGAATCAATGCTTTTTCTTCTTCAAGATGAGGGAGTGGAGCCAATTCAGTTACCCTGACAGTTTCAGATCACCACCTTTTTTCGGCTTTCTGTCTCAAATTCTTCACAAACATCCCCACAACACAAGGATTCTTTTTCCTTAGAACCCTCAACCTAAAGTGAAAACCACTTTTTTTTTTTCCTTCGCTTGGTTTTGAAAATTGTAGCCTGCATCAATCACAGTGGTTTTCTTTGTATCATCACTCTTAAGTCTAAGCTATTTTGTGTGAGTAGATTTCTTACTCATGCATGCACCTTGTATGTTCTTGTATCACTACTGTACCAAGTTTTGTGTTGAGTCTAATTAGTTGTTTGTTCATTCAGGAATCCGAACTTATGCTGCTCAGGAACAGATCAAGAGCTGTAACCAAGCCAAGCTTGATGGGTGATCACAGCTCCCTGCCATGTCCAAATCAGAATTTTGCAAGAACTGTTCCTTCTATATTTGGCTCACCAAAATTTAGAGACTTTACTGTGAAGTGTCTTTCAGGAGCTGAGGCTTTGAGGAGTCCCACATCAATTCTTGACACCAGAGCCTTATCACCATTTGGGCATCATTTGTTACATGAAAACAAGACTGAATCTATTATCTCCCCAAGAATGCACTCAGAAAAGAGAAGCTCATGGGAGAAGATGGACTCAAAAGGCATTGGTCTTGCTCTTGTGGGTGCACTTAAAGATGAGCCTATTCATCAGAATTCTGCTAAACCAAGCAGTGGAAATGTTCTGTTTGGAACTAATCTCAGAGTGAAAATCCCTCCCTTGCCACCACCTTCATTCGAGTCTAAAACAAGTTTTGCTGTTGATTTTGGTGCCAAAACCAAGGACTCGCAAAACTATATAAAAGATTCTCCATTAGCAATTGGAACAGGTGTTCTCACTTTGAGTGAGATGGAGCTTTCTGAGGAGTACACATGTGTGATATCACATGGACCTAATCCAAGAACAACCCATATATTTGACAATTGTATTGTGGAAAATTACTGTTCTCTGCCTAATAATCCACACTGTCCTTTGCTGAATTTCCTTAGCTTCTGTTACACTTGCAAGAACCGACTTGAGGAGACAAAGGACATCTTTATTTACAGGTAAGGTCCATTTTAAATGCTACAGTGATAGATTAATCAGCAAGGGACGATCCCAAATATGAATGTTATTTTCTCTAGTTCATTTTTGGTTTTGAGTCACTTAAGGAGCAGGCATGAACTGGGTTGTGTTTTGCAGAGGAGAGAAAGCTTTCTGCAGTCAAGAATGTCGCCACCAAGAGATTGTACTAGATGAAGCAGAATTTGACAGATACTAAGGGTCATTCTTGGCTTCAATCCCTTGCATGCTTCACTTCCACCCCGGCATCAAAGTCTTGTATTTGATGAGGATAAGATAAACCAAGCTAGTCACAATTTTCCATTCTTGCTTAGGATTTCTAGATAATATCCTATTGTGACCAGCATATTCTTTTTCACCCTTTTGAAGTTTTAGGTTTTTGTATTTTTTTTTCCCTCTCCCTTGCAAATAGAGATAAGAAAGGATGATGTAGAGTTCATTTCAAGAAATGAGTAGTTTTAGATTGCTTCCGGTTTTCTCCCTTTGTTTTCGGCTGAAGCAGATGATGGTGATATATGACTGAAAATAGTGCTTTTTTTTTCCTTCTTGTCTGAGTAGATGATGATGATGCACATTACTGTATATGGGGACCAATTAATTATTTTTCTCAAGAAGATTCCTCTCTTGCATCTATTCTATTATTATTATTCTGTTCACGCCCCTCGATTGAGAAAAAAAACCAGCAAACCATTAAATAGTTCAAAAAAAAACTGATATTGACAGAGAAATATACATTTGTTAAAGGTCCTTTTCCTTACCTATAACTTCATTATCCAAATAATTGAAAATTAGGCTTCGATTAGAAACTTTGATACGTATAATAGGGAGAATCCCAAAATATCAAACTTTGGGATAAAAGCAATTCCCAAACTTAAATAACCAAAGTTCTTATCCCACATCCCCATCACCTTAACCATATTTCATTTAACAGCGCCAAACTATTTGTGTCACGATCAGGCATAGGCACCAAAAAGGTCTAAAATAAATGGGGTCATCACTAAAGCAACATTATGCACCGCAAAGAAAAAAATTCCAAAGACGCGTAGTTTTGGCGTTAATAAAATGATAAATTTGGTTACATTAAGTGATTAGACTATTAGCTTCGACCAATATCTATAGCTTTAATATCTTACCCATTCCTTCAGCGGAGGTAGACAAAGTGAGATAAAACAGAACCTTCGCAAAATTAATAGTGAAAAAGTACCCCAACCATAATCTACGACTTAAGCATATGAAAATGAAAGCAATTAAATGACAAGCAAGACTTCGTGAGCATGAAAATCACCGGCAACCTTAACTTGACGAGTGCTGTGCTGGGAGAATCATTAATTTGAGGAAATTAACGTTGGCTTAGACAAAATGCAGCGACCAAGGTGAAAACTGAAGAACACAACGGAATTGGGACCCAGAGTACCAAAAAGTGAGCACTCTAATATGCTGAGATGCTCAATTAATTGTGGCAAAGAACAAACATCTGGAACATAAAAGATGGCGACTCCTTTGGCATCTGCCAGCGTTTTTCACTATTTCGGATGAGAAATGAACATCAATTAAAGATAAGTTCAAGTACCAGTCATTGCACCAAATAGTTTAAATGCTTGCCATCAATACTTCCATACATTGTTTTTTTCAAATGTATATATTAATATCCAATAAAACAAATATCTGACAAAGCAACGTCAAGTCTTGAAATTATCATTCAAATTAACCAAAAGTAATGAAACATATTTCTATTGAAACAGTTTATCAAACAGTGCCATCAAGAGTGGACAATATGAACTGTTTAAAAAGAAAAATAATATGAATGTCTGAGACTAAGTATGGTACGATTAAACAGTAAGATGATGAAAAAAGAAAACACAAACAAGACAAGAACATTTTGAATAGAATCCAATTGATAATCAGAAGAGGGAAATCGAGTGCACAATAAGAGTGAATTATAGAGAATGAAAATATCACTACTCGTTGTAACGAAAACAAAAAGACACTGTATGTCAAATGGAACTCCATTGATATACTAGACAAATAAAGAGTGAAGGGCGAGTAAGAAACATTGATAATATCACTATTAACTCATGGAAGTTGCAACCATATCCACCAAGTGCTGTAAGAATTGCGGCAACAAATAAAGATGGGTTAGAATTCAGTAACCTTTTAGAATTAGGTCACCCAACAAACAAACTTTGACCAACCCAAAGAAAATTGAAAAGAGGAATTGTTAAGCTCGTCTCATATGGACTGAACCGGACAACCTTAAGTACCCATATAAGACCATTTTGATTTTTCAGTAATGTTATGTGAACACTAAAACTTACGATTCCACATTCCCTCATGAAATTGGTTTCTACGAAGGAACCAAACATGTAGTTGCCATTGCAGGAAAATAGATCATGCTGGATTAGAATTGTTTAAACATGATCCCTGATCCCCAATCTTCAATGCCTGAGAATCATTGCCATTTTAGTCTAAGTTCCAACAATATTAGGACCACCAACGATATTAGCTACAATACAAAAATTCATTAAAAAGATGATAACCATGCCATAGCTTTCAAAGTAATGCTATATAATCAATAAAGAGCATAAGTATTTAATTTTGATACAAAATGGTGAACACATAAAAGTCACTAACATTTTATTTCAGCAGATCAAACAAGTTACACAAGTTACTGAGGCAGAAAGAAAGAAATACAGACAAATTTACGAGCCACAAGAGACGTTACAATCTACAGAGAGAAACTGACTTGCAAATGACCACATCTCACAAGTCACGACTGAAACAACCTTCGTAAAGTTTTGCCACCCTGATTCAAACATGAAACAACTCTTAGTAACTGCAATGTAATGGCATTAAAAGAATCTAGCAGAAGCAGTTAAATAATCATCAAGCAAGATAATACCTTAAAATTTGGCATAGCATGGTCAACACTCTCCATGGAAATGGAGGATAAGCCAGGAGATGACTAGGTCTAGGAGACTAAGGAAATAAGCATTACTTGGCATCAGAAATGAAACATATCAGGGGTTGACTAGTAGGTGGAGTGACATGGATTAATCCTAAAAAACTGAAGCAGATGCTACAAAAGACTACTACAAATCCCTTCATACTTTTCTTTGAAAAAAATACAGAAAAGATTTTGAAGGGGTAAACTACACCCTCACTTAGGGTAGCTAAATAAAAAACTGACAGAGAGAAACAAAGATGACTATGAGAGAACAAATTCCAGTAAGGAATGTAGTAACTAAAGAACAGCAAATCATCTAGAATCAGACTGAAAAGACTGTGATGCACACTGTAAAATCATGTCGTGAAGGAAAGTAAAATCAGGATAGAAGTTAGAACGATTAAAGATTGTAGTGAGAAGAAACTAGAGAGAGGTGAGAGGGAGGGTGGGGGAGCATTTTACCGTATATACATAATATGTAAAGCAATACTCCTAAATCCTACGTCAGAACAAGGTAAGGTTAAACATTCTATGAGGTGATGATTCTGAGAACTACATATAATAATATATTCAGGATTCAACTTGAATGTAACTTTCTTCAGGTCCAATAGATTAAAGCGCAATCAACCCAAGTCCATTCCATGCCACTTCTACCCATTACCACCATTCAACTTCCCAACCGTTTTCATGGAAACTTCCATCAAGTTGCAATGATCTATAGCAAAGCCTGCTTTCGATAGATTCCTCTAGTATCACTCAGTTACCCTGTCCACCACTGAGCTTGATCCAAATTCCAAAATCTGGAGATTGCTGACCCACCACAGCCAAGATTTTCAAGGGGCACCACCACTACTGAAAGCTACACAAACTCAAACCAACTCGGACTACAAACTTTATTTGGTCTCTATGTACAACTAACTAACACTAACCCACTTTCATTAAAAAGACATCTTTACAGGAGCCAACGCGCCTTGTATATCAGTCATCATTGATGTTAAGATTAAGAATGCGACGCAGGGTCTTAGTAGCAGAATCCGCATTAACAAATAGATCCCTTGTAAAAGGCAAATGCTCCCTGCCAGGGGAAGAGGGTGCAGACTTGGCCATTTGGCGCATTTCAATCTCAGGGGAGGAACCAGGAAGATTAAGGGACACAGTCCTCTTTGGTCGGACCGAAAACTTGGGAATTGGCAAGGAACTAGGAGGTGGTGAATTAGAGTAGGTAGGTCCAGCCCATAACTCAGAAAGCAAAAGGCTTCCACCAGGGACATCTTCAGTGAAAGTTGTTTCTTTTCTACAACCTTTACCGTTGATGGGAATTGGGGTGCTCTTAGGAGTAGCTTTCCCATGCATTTTGCTATCAGAGTTAGATGGTGTTTTAGGGGAACCATGAGATTTCAATGGAGTTGGCAATATACCTGCCCTTCCAGACTCAAAGGTCCTGCAGTTGATACCCCTAAAGTCCCTTGAAGGTGAAGACACAAATCGAGCATGCCCTTGTGGCTTGGACCTGCTGTAGTATTGATTCTTATGCTCCTCGACAACAAAAAGGGTTTCCATGGCCACAATCAAAGAGAGAGTAACTGATACTGAGATTTGAAAGGTTCAATCTACCAGATCCCACTGCTACAACTCAGAACGAGGTATCACCAACAAGCAGAGAGACAAAAACTTTGCCGTCCTAGATAGTAATCTCCGAACCACTAGATCCAAACTGAACATGTACCCGAAAATTTCGCCCACCACTACAACACCCAGGTAACAATCTCACTGATTCAAATCAACCACAGAAACTTTCTCAACACTGAAGAAAAAAAGGCAAAAAAACACAGAAATTAATAAAGCACTGCCACAACAAAAAAAAAATGCATCTTTGGGCATCAAATCCACATTTTCTGGAGAAAGGGAGAACAAGAAAATTACCCGTTGATGGAAAAAGAGGAAAATTGCAGAGAGAGCACTAAAAGGGTATGGTAGTGCTGCAGCTCTTCCTCCAAGCTACACTGGTTTTTTTCGTTGGTGGTTAATTTATATTTATTATTTTTATATTTCTGGGATTTATTATTGAAGCAATGAAAATGGCATGGAGAATGAAAAATCTTAATATGGGAAGCGGATCTGAAATGAACGTCAACACAACAGTGTCATATATATCTACTCTTACACCAATGTTAATTAATTAATATAATAATAAAATAATAGATGTAAGAGTAGGAATGGTTGGTGAATAATACTGAATGCTTAGTTGGGTTGAACATTGAATGTACTTAAGAAGTTGAAGTTTAGTACGTACTGGTGTCGGTTTTTGGCTCCCTTACATGATAAGACGTTACACGTGGCGGTTGCATTGCTAAGAAAAACGTGGAGGGGTTCTTTGCTTTTGCTTGGTAATGGTGGAACTATAAAAGGTGATTAATTAATTAAATAAAGCACTCTCTCTCACCAAAAAACAAAAAAGTATTCTTATGCTTTATTGTGTGCCCGCCGAAAGGTATCCCGATGCAATGCAAAACTGTAACATTTACAAACATAATAAATTTCCTATTTTTAAATTATTTAAGATAATACAAATATTCTATTTCCAAATTATACATATATAATTAATAATTTATTTATTAAATAAAAAAAATTATCTAAAAGATATATAAAATAATATAATAAAATTCTTACTATCAATTATTTATCTATTTATTTAATATTTTTATATCTAATTGAAATTAAATGTATAAAATTTTTACAGATATAACTATAAAGATAAAATTAAATATAATAATTAATATTATATTAAAATTTTAAATAGATATATCGTTAGAAACATAATCTTCTTTCAAAAATAGACAAATAAAAAAGGATGTAGCTATTACATCTTTGTATTTTTTTTCATTCCTACTTTTCCTGACATTTAATATTATATTTCATTTATTCCTTTTATTTTATCATTTTCAAATATTATTTCTGTTTTAGTTTTTTGGTTGTTTAAAAATTTAAATTAATTAATTTTTTCTAACTCTGCCCCAATTTAATAGGTAAACAATAATTTTAACCGACTACTGTAAATGTATCTTTTTATCATCTTCCTTTTTTAACCTTTAAATAATAAATTTGTGAAATGTATTGGATAAATTTTTATTAAAAGTTTTCTTAATTAAGACTCGTAAAAGGAAATTATATATCATTTAAAAATTTCTTGATCTTTTTGTATATAACCTTAAATAACAAAAAATGGAAGGAATAATGAATAAAAATAGTTATCATTTGTTTATATTGAAATTATTTATAATTTCATTACATAATTTTGTCTCTTATTTGTTATTTAACATTTTATATATTGTTTTCTTTCTTTGAAAAAAGAATTATTAAAATAATAATTAATGCCATCTTACAATTTTAAAATAACAATTAAATAAATCCAAAAATGATAAATTAAAAAATAGATATAGTGATATGCTAAACTATAAAGTTTATTGTTGATTTTCGGTTTATATCATGAAGATTATTGCATGCATAGCAATATTTTTCAATATATAATATTTATCTGACCAAGGGGATATCATATGTTTCATCTTAGAATCAAGGCAATAATATAAAACTTTTAAAGTATATATTTGCTAACATGTTCACAGCAGTAACAATAAAACAAATAAATAATAATATTTTTACAACGTTTCTATAACCAAGGAGTACAAAAGTATTAATTATAGTTTATTAAAAATTTTAAATCGTTAAAATATAAATATTGAAGACTTGTGTGTTTTTAATATAACAAGTATCTCTCTCTCTTTTTTTAGTGTTCTTAAAATATGCATATATGCTTATATTTTTCCAAAAAACTGTTATACAACCTACATACATTTTTTGTTGAATTTAAACATGTACTATAGTCTATATATATCATAACAGAGCAACAAAAACTAGTAACATATATGATTTTGGGCAAATTACAAGGGAAAGTAAATATATTAAGCTTTTATATATTTATTAATGGAACTGAAAAAATTACAAGCTACGTCGCATTCATAAGAATCAGAAGGTTCTGTAAACCAAATGCAAAAAGAGGATTTTTCATTTGGATTTTTCTTTGTCTATGACTTACCCTTTTTTTTTTTGCAGTGTTTTTCGGCTTTTGGTCTGGATGACTTACCTTTTCCAACAGTGTTCCAATAGTGAACTTACTTTGGTTATCTTTTCTTTTTGTCAGACTTTGGTTATATGTATGGTTTTGGTCAATTACTTTGCTTGTTGTTTTGGTCAAAATTCCTCTGATTATCTAATATCCATCGTTAGCATAAAAACAGTCCATTATCTTTCCCATTCCATTAATGGACATAGCGTAAGATCACTTTAGTTATGATTGTTGACCAAAAAACTCTGGTTATAATAATGAAGGCCCAAAAGAATATAGGTTCGCGTAGCATTGCAAAATTTGTTTAAATATAATTGGCTGGCCCAACATATCCTTGGGCCTTTGGCCCAGTATGTACAAAATTTCAGCTCTCAAACTAAAAAAATAGCTCCTTCGTCCTATGCGTGTCTTTGACAAAGTAAACAAGGCTTGACCAAAGAAAGTAAATAAGTTACCCAAGTATAAAAAATTAATGGCAAAAAAATGTATAAAAATTTTCTCGATTAAATTAAAACTATGTGGTGAAGGAACTTATTTCAATTACTCATAATAAATTTTAAATATTATTTTATTTCTTCTTCTAAATATTTAACATATTTGTTTTTATATATATTCAAACTTAAAATTGCAGATTAAGTTGAAATAACTATTTATCTCAACGGTACATGACATTGAAGCATATAGGTTCTTCTTTTTCATTATATTAAAATAATCTTTAATGCTGCAACTGTTGCTTATTTTATGCTCACATTTGACAAAAATGTTGCCCATATAAGCAACCGACTCTCGACGATTTGGCACTGGTTATTCAGGCAAACATTACTTTTCAGGGGAAAAAGGATTAAGCAAACCTGCTATTTATGCTCTAATAAAACTTGAGCTTCTGATGTTCGGTCATATCGTGTACCGCACTGCTCAGTCCTAAACTCAAACTAAACAGCATAAAAAATTTGCCAAATGCAGAAATTCAATATGAATATCATCTAAAAGTATGGTTGGGCTCGGGTATTGGTTTGAATGGTTAAGATCCCCACACTGAAAGTGGAGTCTGACTATTCGATTTCGATGGGTATCTTTCTATCTTGTGCCAAAGAATAATAATAATAATAATAATAATAAAAGTATCCTAATTTGCAAGCTGCGTGGACACAGATTCGTGAATTTGTACAAACCACTTAATCAAACAATATAATAATAGACATGATGATAAACAAAACGATTACGAATGCTTCATATCATTTCGATTTCAATTTCTGAACGGATTCTATTCCTTTCGTTTGGCCTAAAACCTTTTCAGGATTCCTGCGGACAAAGAAAGCAAAAGTAGTCAATTCAATATACAAATACAATGCCCTTGATCATTGAGCATCTTCTTCGAGGGTAGTTTCGTCCAACCAAATTTACTTAGGTCCCCTATATATACCCCATGGACTTTATAAAACATATTTCCATCAATGACAAAATCACACCCATCTTCTAATTGGTCATCCAAACGAGCACTTAACTTCGACTTGAAAAAGGGTCAATATAGGAGTTAGTTAAGGTGCGCGCAAGGCCATGTTTTCCAAAAAGGTCAACCTCTTCATAAAGAAACGTTCCCAACACGGCGTCGTTTCGTCGACCCCATGCTCAAACTCCAAGAAGCTTTACAAACTGCCCCACGTGTTCGCCAAAATGCTGGAACTCCCTTTCTCCTCAGACGCCGACGTCTTGATCGAGGAAACGGCGCAGTTTTTTCGGTTCGTGGCGTCGTTCAACATGTTGAACGCAAACGCCGGTGGTGTGCGTGCGCACGTGATCGAGATTCTCCCAGGGATAACCAAAATCGTGATCAAGAGAATGGACGGCGGTGATGTCACAGTGGCGGGGAAGCAGCAGCATCGCCTTGACCTGTGGCGGTTCAGGCTTCCGGCGTGGACTCAGCCGGAGATGGTGACCGCCGTGTGCATCGGCGGGAAGCTGGTGGTGACGGTGCCTAAGAGCAGAGGGAACTGATTCTCTTAGCATGGAATATATGAGAGGCGTGTACTTTGCAAAGTAGTATTTGTATATAACCATATATCGCATTATCATGTATGTGGGCCTCTTTTCATCTTAATTTTTCTCTAATAAAACAATTATTCCATGCCACGTGGCTTCTTTATTTGCCTGTGGCTTGTGGGTTAATTTTAAACTTGTTTTCTTTGTTCTTTTATTTATACTCAGCTTAATTTTGGGTTTAATTAGAGGATGCAATTATTGGTTTATCATTTATATGATATGTGTTTCAAATATATATAATATACACAAAATTTTAAAATGAGTGGTACTTAGCACGAGGTTGTTGCACGTCACTTAATAATTTTGTTTTATTAAATTAGTGTAAAATGAGTGGTGAGCAGAGAGTACCAAAAATGGAAAAAGAAAAAAAATGAATAATATATGTGATTAATGATGTGACAGGAAAAGAAAAAGGGATAGAATAAAAAGAGAGATAAGGAATAAATAAAAGAATAAAAAAATGCTAATAAAAAACTTTTTTTATACTTGATTATTAATTAAAATTGTGTGATTATCATTTTTTTTAATTTAATAATTTTATTGTATTTGAATAATTTTTAATTAATAATTAAGAATGTAATACAGATAATATGTTAGAAAGTATATATGATCCTAATATACATGCTCTAAATAATGTGTAAAAATACAGTAGTTATTTTAATTTTTAGATCCTAAAATAATGTTAATGTTTCTTATATAATATCCTTTATTAAAAAAATTATTTAATTTTTTTTTTATTTTTTCTCTACTAAATTTAAACATCTAACTATTTTCTTTTTTCTTTAGCATAGTTCAGTTCACACAAATACTTTTCTCATAACAATTTTTGCAATTTGCATAAAGATATGGAAAAAGAAAAAGAGAAAGTAAGGAATAAGACCAGTGCTGTAACGTGAATATATCATAGATACAAATTAAGAAAAAATAATAATATTACCTTCTTTTTTTAGCACCTAAGTGATATGAAAAATAAAGAATTGTAGTGGTGCATATTATTTTCTCTTATATTATTTTCTCTTATATTATTTTTTAAAATTAGTTCGCACACTTATCAAAATACTCTGTATGAGAAGTAAAAAATAATAATAATTACCTTATAACGGAATAATCTTATATGGACAAACAAGTTGAATATATATATATCTTACTGCATCGAATTCAAGTTAAAGAGTAGAGGCAATCGTTTGATGAGACTTCTAGTTTAATCCCTAAATAAACTGTAACATAAAATGCAGCATTTGTACTTTTGAGTAGTAAGAAATATGAACTCGAAATTAGCCCTTTTAATTGAGGGTGATGATCGGACAAAATACTCTTGAAATATTAACTTTGGACTATGACCCGCATATTATTATTATTATTATTATTATCCGCATAGAGGTCATAATTCATTTTAATTGCCATCAACTATTGTATAACTAAAATGAATGAAATGATACATATAACTAAAGTAAATATTTATAACATAATTTTTTGCTTTGAAAACTTTACACCTTTGTAATATTGTTACCTATTATCTTAATTGAACGCTGAGATTTGGAAGAACATTTTTAGTAAATACTTCAAATGTGTTACTTTCAGAATAACAAATTAATCCTATATTATTTTAAAAAAATAAAATTTACTTCCAAAAACATACCTTTAAGAATATTTATTATTGACATGACCCCCCCTTTTTTTTCATATACTATTCTTTTTAGCACATAGAATCGAACCTCAATTATGTGCCACAAAAATTGCGATGATATGGTTTTCTAGGCGCATAGGATAATAGGCTTCCATGTGAGAGCACATTGTAAAAGTTGTGGGCGAGCCCCACCTATCCTTCAAATTTATATTGAACACTTCTGGCTTCAATTTTTATGGAGTAAATGGAAACTCAAGGTGATCAAGTTACGTTTCCCCCTTTTCTTCTTTTGCACAATATTCCATTATGCATAATACGTAATTATAATAAAACACAGGAGAAAATCTCCCAAAATGCTGTAACGTCAAATCCATTTGATATTTATTCCCCCCGTTAATCAGTTATGTTTTTTCAATTCCTATTCCTATTTTTCTTTTTTGGTAAATTGTTGCTATTTTGAACTGAACTAGTACCCAGTGTCACCAACAATGTATAAAAGGCTTAACGAGCCTATTGTTCATTCTAGTGAAGCTTTAGCCCTTTAAGTGCAAATTCATTCATGTCTCCATTTCCCTGATATCTTTCCCTATAGAACTATTCGTATTTAAATATTGGACATTCGATTAATTATATATTATATGTATATTTATTACTTGTGTGGTTGAGAGCATGTTGAACTACAGAAAAAAATTCAGTCCCTACATATGGTTTACATTTAATAGGTATTTTTTTCATTTTAAAAATTACACATTTTACCTTTAACACTTGTTGTTTTTATATAATTAAAAAGAGATAATTTTAAAGTACTTTTATATATGTTTTTAAGATAATAATAAGAATAAAACTGGTGATTTAGAACATATTGGGACCTGTTCAGATGGTGCAACAGAGGGAAGGGTGACCCGCTTTGGTTATACACTGTTGACAGCACTCGGTGGAGGTGCAGAGAAGCAAAGGAGGTGCAATGTATATGAGTTGCGTAGCTCTATTCTTGAAACCACACTGGATTACCATGTGTCATGCTTCATGCTCCTCCAACGCCACCTGTAACTCAAATACACTGAATCATCGTTTCACGCTGACAAGTGTATAGTCATTTCTTCTCTTCAATTCCCCTACTGTGACTATATATCATCTTAATCTCACACCACAGTTATATATATTCCAACTTATAAGGACCCAAATTTGAACTAATTAAACCAAAATCATGAGCCAGCAACAGCCCCAGAGACCTCAAGACCCCATCAAATACGGCGACGTTTTCAACGTCTCCGGTGAACTCGCGTCCAAACCCATCGCACCCAGAGACGCAGCTCTTATGCAGGCCACGGAGAACCAAGCGTTCGGACAAACCCAAAAGGGAGGCCCTGCCGCCGTCATGCAATCTGCCGCCACCGTCAACACCAGCGCCGGCCTCGTTGGCCGCCGAGACATCTCCGACGTTGCCAGAGACCAAGGCGTCAGCATCTCCGAAACCAAAGTGGGTGGCAACCGTGTCATCACGGAGTCCGTGGGAACACAAGTTGTGGGACAGTTCGTTGAACCCCAAGTTCCCATGAATTCCCCTGGAATGGCTCTGCAGCCAGATGCCATAACCATTGGCGAGGCACTTGAAGCGTCCGCGTGCAGCGGAGCCGGTGATAAGGCGGTGGATCAAAGCGACGCCGCTGCGATACAAGCCGCTGAAATGAGAGCCACCGGAAAGAACGAGACTGAGCCGGCTGGCTTGGGCGCCACGGCTCAGTCAGCTGCCACTCGGAACACTCGCGATCTCGCTCACAAGACAACATTGTCTGATGTTTTAGTGGTAACTTGTCACCCTCACAAATTACACATTCATGTTATTAGAAATAGAGAATCTAACTCATATAAATTAATTAAAAAATCATTTTAACAATACATATTAGTTTTAACCTTTGAAAAATTGTACATTTAAAAATTAAAAAAACTATAATATTCTATAACATCCATATAGAGAATTACATTCATATGCATGCATATGTGTGTGGGTGTGAATGCAGGATGCGAGGGAGAAGTTGCCAATGGACAAGGTGGTAACACGAGAAGATGCAGAGGGAGTGATCGGTGCAGAGCTTAGGAATAAATTAGACATGAGAACCACCCCTTGTGGGGTCGCTGAATCGATGGCTGCTGCTGCCACTCTTAATCAAAACAGGTACTTACACTATTTTTCAATTTTACCTAGATCAATTGTTTTCATCTCTTTTTTTTTTTCAAGTCTCTTTTGATTTCGACCAAAACAAAGTGTTGTATTTGTTATATATAAATACATCTTAACTTGGCAATAAGTTTATGGTTTCCTGCAGGAGAAGGGAGTGATACGTGAAAAGTTGCCAGTTCCCAGTTGGTGGGTGGGGAGCATCCATGGCGATACCACACATACCGTAGTTTAAACAAATAAATCAAGTCTGTTTGACCTGTAGGAATACACTAGTCTTAGTCCCACCATTTTTTTTCCCTCTTTGTTCTTCCAAGGTTTTTTATGTTAATTATGCTCTCTTTTTTCCCAGTGTATAACGTTTCCTTTTGTGGGTTAAGGGTTAAAAACTATTTTTGTCAGTTAAATAAACTTGTTTTAAATATTAAATTTATATATAATATGATTGGTTTACATTTATACCATTAAAAAATAATTAAGTAAACATGCCCTTAAAGTATGGTTTAGAGGTGGATTGGACCTGGCTATTTCCATTCCTAGAAGTGATGGACGTATAAGCCCATGGCCATGTTAAAGCGAGACCCAATTTAGACCCAAAAAAAGAAAATTCTTGACAAAAAGTCATTTGTTCACTTCATAAATTTAATTCGAATCATTAAAAAGATTCACACTGAATTTAATACATAAAAAATTATGTATAATATTTTTATGTTTTATTCATCTTCTATAATTTTTTGTATACATGTATATTAAAAATACATTGTCAAATGCAAAAATATATTGTTAAGGGTACATTCGGGGGTTCAAATAATATTTTTCTTTCCAAAATCCAGAGTCCAAAGCCTAGCTAATTCAGACCCACATTCACAGTGACACTATACTCCATCGATTTTCTTTAATTTCTTCTTAGTCTAACACCATAAAAATAATTTTCTTTATTAAAAATTATATCTATTGCTTTGGAAATATAAAAGTTATTAAATACTTGCACGTGTTTAAGATGTCTAATATGATGTATTCAATATTTTTAATTAATGTTCATTAAATATTCGTTGGCAAGTTGATTTTTTTTATTATTATATTATTATTTAGGCTAATCATGTAAAATATTTAAGAATTAGGTGAAAGATAATAAATCAACGCTATCTTTAATTTTTATATATAAAAAGACAAAGAATAAAAAATTCCTTTAAATGTTAGAAAAATAAAATAAAAAAAGGATACATACGATTGTATTTACTTTTCTTAACATATATTATCGATATTTAAATATCGAAATGGATGTTTTATTATTTTGAGTATGATTATTATCTGTAATAAAGTTTTCTTTCTGAATTTTAAGCGTAGTCATGTAACTCTCGATCTCTGTCCCTTGTAATACATATTATCTTAACTGATTTCCCAATCATGATTATTTATTTAATTTAATAAAAAATACTTTTTTTATTTGATGAACTAGTTGAGTTGAGTCAAAGTAATTGGATTTATTAAAACTAATTCATTTAGTGCTAAATAGTTCATTCATCTGCTCACCAAAACCAAAACAAAAAACAAAAAGTGCATATCTTATGTCCTAAAGGCTTTAATGCATGTCAGTGAGAGACAGATGATGAACCCACATATAGCAAGCTATTGCTATCCAATGCACTTCACAGGATATGACACTGACAGACCCACGTTGAGTATGGTCTAGGTGGGACACCATATAAACATAGAAATTCAATTGAAATCAAACTAATTTAAAAAGAGAAATACAATTTTTAATTAGAAAAACCATATTAAACAAAGTCATAATGACTTAATCCATGCAGAGACACCCTGGGTCTTTCATAATGTCGTTCGGCAGAAATGATGATATCTTCCAGCATCTTGAATTATTTTTCCAAATCCCAGTGATGATTAATAATTTGTTTCTAAAGCCAATGATACGATAGTTATAGCACGGAGCAAGTACATGCATGTTGGATGTTGAGTTGTTGAAGCTATGCAAATCATGGTTACAAAACTAATTAATGTTTCTTCACCAGTTGGAAAGTGTCGGTTTCGTTCCAATTAATATAATATGTATGGAGAGTAGAGCACTGATTGGTGCAGAACTGAGTTGGCAAGTGGTCTAACCAAATTAAGTTCGCAATTTTATTTGCTACAGCTCATTCTTAGTATATATCTATGTATGATCTGATCGATGCTATCACATTAATTTGCGATTCACTTAGCACTTCATCACCTGCGGCATGCTTACCATCTGACTAAGACTGCCGAAGACCCTTGTCTCTCCTACACCTAAACACATACACAGGTCTAATGGTAAGAGATAATATTTCTTACTTACATAAATCGCATAATTTGAACTTAATTAGTCTTTTGTAAAACATTTTATAAAGATTAAGTTTAAATTATATAACTTTTTGGGAACGAAACACTTAATTAAGTATAATTTATTATAATAGTAATATTATTTGTTTTTTATTGTAATTTTTAATACATTAGTTTTTATTATTTATGAAATTTGATACATGTCACACTAAATACTTGATTCATTCTTTAATTAGGATGATTTAAGTGATGAGTTGATCTAAAAATAAAGAATGTGTTAAAAACATATTAATAATGTAAAATATGATGACATTGTTTATCAATTCTCATACCATATGGCCTAAGTAAACTCTGCTCAGAACCCACACATAAGAAACTAGCAAGCAATGGGGTAACCTTTGGTGAGGGAATGGCATCGCACGTGCTTAATTACGTTGTTGTTAGACATTGAAGTACGCTCATGAGGACATACAACTCGTTCTGGCTGTTGGCGATGCATGTGGAAGGGAGCCATTGCGAAGTTAAATAAATGAAATATGAAAAGAAAAATAATTTTTTTAATGCAATGTATTGAAAAGCATGGGAAACTCATGATTTGTTGGACATATGTGCAGTAAACTAAGTATTCAAATTCAAATATATGCCGTTTATCGACCGATCAGCTTGATGTTATAACACTCCTTAAGGGAAGATTTGAATTTATCTTTTTTCATATTCCCAATTTCTTGAAAACACCATTGCACCAATAATTTCTATAAGAAGAAAATGATTTCCGGAAGATTGATCTTGTTCCAATCAAACACTGAAACTGAAGCAAAATATTTCGTCTATTGACTGAATTCTAAGCAAAATATACCCCCCACCATGTGATTCTGGGAAACCCGTCATAGTTGTAAGGTTAGTTGGGCCATCCTTATAGCTTCCACACCACACCATGGACTCTACACTTAAAGGCTAAAACCTCGGGGGGTGAGAGAAATTTGGGGATCAAAATTATGCATTTTTTCTCAATTCAGAATTATTTTTTCATGTGTATATATACATTTTGTTACATATTTATTTTGTTATACGTACATGGGAGAGCGTTTTGTTGGTCTATTGTCTGTTAGAAGCCAATATGCCAAGCTGAAGAGCGTTTTGTTGGGCTATTTTTTATATATCTTCCTTGAATTGTTGACTGATCATAGATGCTCCAAAGGAACAAGACATTAGTGTTAGAAGTTAGCTTCTTGGCATTTTCTTTTCCTCGTTATTAAGCAGTAAACATTGTTTTCTTCAGTGGGTTCTGCAGCTCTGCTGCTTCCAGTTCAGTGAACAGTGCACGTACATGAATAATAATGGAGTATTAAGGTAGGGACCAGTGTTATCTGATACGTATATTGCAGAGCTGGCTTAGCACTATGATTGTCATAGGAACATGACAAATCAAATGATAATTAACTAATTTGCAACCATGCATGCAGCGTTCCATTTTTTAAAAAAATATTTTCAGTTTTATATTTTTATAAGATTTAAATTTTTTTAAATTTTTTATTTAGTTTTAAGTTTTTCTAAAGTTAGTATCTTTTTTATCTTTCTTATTCACGTAGGACAACAAAAAAATTAATATATGACATACTTAAAGATCAAAATTAAAATTTCACAAAAACATAAAAATAAAAAGTATATTTAAAAGTTTTCTTTTTCATAGATATTTGTAAATGATTATATATTGTTTAATAATGAGTAAATTTATTAAACTTGAATCCTTTTAAAAAGTTGAATAAGTTTATAGATGAAGTTATATATTTTTAATAATTCTGAAAGTAAAATTATATTTCAATTGCTGAAATTTATATAGAATACCTAAAAAAAATGTCGAGTTCTTTTCTTATAAATAGTAAATTTCTGTAAAATATTTATTTATATATAAAAATAGCATTCGTGCAGAACATTCCCAAATAAAAGTAACTGAAAATAAAGGATGATAAATTCTGATACGTAACTCTATATCTTTATTTTTTACCATGTATCTCTGTACTTTTTTGTTGTATGTTGAAAAGTTGAAAATGACCATCCAAAATTGGGATTTTATTAGCTCAAACCGTCTTCAATCCAGCAGGTTAAATCAAACTTGCTTATGATTTCAGCTACGTTATTAGGAATGTAACTAAGTGATTAAATTTATATATGCAGGACTAAGAATCAGGATGAGAAGTGGGACCGAAATGAGACGAGTCTTCATTGTGGTATCTTGCATGAATAATGAAATGATAGCCGTCTGATACATCACTTTCCTGTGTGTTGATTTTATATTAGATCTGTGCATGAAATGGACCAACCATGAGGGTTCCAGTCCATTATAATATTGTCTTATACTATTTGGAATCCTTCTTTCTTTTACTGATTTTATCTTCGCATGGCTATTTACTATTCTGTTTGTAAATCGGGATAAACAATACCACTCGATGGCTTATTATTGGTTTGTGCTTTGCTTTTGTCTGATACCTCTTTGTCCTTCCCCATGTGCACCTTGCTTTCACCTCAAACTAAGGTATACTGAAAAACCCAAATGGCTTAGGCGTTTGGCTATACTAGTCCTTTACGCGCTCATGTGACCAAAAACAAAATAACAAATAAAGAACTTCAAGTTCAATATGATATACTTTTTTGATGAAAAAATGCGTCACAAATACATGCAACATGTGGTTCAGTTGGTGTAGGTGTAGTTCCCAATTACGTACCCATGTTTACAGATGACAAAAGATTCTTGGAGCGTGTAACTACGCTCCTTAGACAAAAAGTGAAGAAATTGTCGACAGTTCCAACACATGCAATACAAACAATGTACTATATAGTTTCTTCTTTTACCATATTTTCTCTTCTATCTTGGTACCTCACACACACCTACTCCTATATAATATGTACATAATCATAAAGCAAAGAGCTTAATTCTCGGCATCTTCATTTTCCTCCACTCTTTGCATTTTCATTTTGCAAACAGATTAATATGCCAAACACAAGAAATCTGAAGCACCTCAACCTCAACTTGTGTTGCTCAAATTCCACTCCTCCAGAATCAGAATCTCCTCCTATGAGCCCTATTGGAATTGCCACTTCCTCATCCCATCACAATATTCATCGCAACACTAAGTTTCCAACGCCTTCAATTATGATCAAGAACTTCAACTCTCTCTATGACCCTACCTTAACCTCTTACCACTCTTTCTCTTCCTCTTTCTTCTCTTCAGCTACCACCACCACCTTTGAACCCGAACCAGAATCCGAACCCGAACCAGCGGATTTCGCCACCGCCTTTGCCTCTCAACGCTTCTTCTTCGCCTCCCCTGGCCGTTCCAACTCACTCATTGAATACACGGACACTCAACACTTACCACCCTCATCATCGTTGAGAGAAGATGGTGAGAAGAAGAATGAGAATAAGAAGAAGGAAAAGAAAGTGTTGTTTAACGGTAGCGTGGCGGTGCCAACGTACTCGCCGGATCCTTATGTAGATTTCCGAAGGTCGATGCAAGAGATGGTGGAAGCGCGTCCTGAGTTAATGGATGTGAAGTCGAATTGGAACATCTTGCATGAGCTTCTTCTATGCTATCTTGCGCTCAACCCAAAGAGCACCCACAAGTTCATTATTGGTGCTTTTGCTGATCTTCTTGTTAGCCTCATGTCTTTCTAGTTTGGATTTTTGAGTTGAGGAATGTAAATTGAAAGAATGAAACATGTAATGTGGGTGCCAGTTAATGATATATTGTTTCATTAATTAATCTGCTTTTTCATTACTCTCATTCATTTTTTTCTTCATTTGGTTAGTAGTACGTAGTGACATATTTGGTTTCTTTTGGCCTTAGTTCCGTTTTCTTTTTCTTTTTGTTGTATATAATATAATTCTTTTGTTTTGGGGAGAGGGCACCCTGCCCAATCCACGGACTTTATCACACTAATTGATTATAGGAAAATATGATACCTATCTATTAAATGGGTGTGTAATGAGAGGCTAGAAGAGAGATGTAAAGAAAAAAAAATGTGATCAAGATAAAAATGAAAAAAAGAAAAAGAAAAATGTAAACATACAAGTATAAGAATTCTTGATTTTATTAACATGGTCATTTGGAAAGGTGAAAATAATTTTAGAATATCTAGTCAATAAGGATTAGTGAAAGCCTTTATATTCATGATATATATGACTTGGAGTATGTGTCAAGCAACTCTAAAGAAACATGGAATTCCTAGACTTTTCTGTCATAGGTAACATGCCGTATTGTTAGGATTTCATTTAATTTTGCACTTGAGAAATTAAACCGATAGTGGTTGAAGATGGTGCTACAGACAACCTTACTTCAAGAACATTAATAAGCATAATTAACTAGAAGATGGAGTGCACAAGTTAACTAGGCAAATACATTTAGCTAGCTAGCATAATTTTATATCATGCATCCCAATCCCGCGGGTAAGCTTCATCAAGGATGTATGCAGAACAGTGGAAAGAAATGAAATGAAATGAAATTCAGATGGATCATAAAAGATTCTCTCTATGGCTATGGTCCCTTCATAGATCTTAACTCATACCCGTTGCAATTAACTTGTCAAATTTGGCCACGGTTATGTGTGCGCGCGTGTAACATTGATGATAAGTTAATTATAATATAATATTGATTGGCTTTGATATATCAATTACTGTTGTTGACTTGTTGGGAAGTGAAAATGGTGACAAGTCCATATCAATAAACAACTACAACTCGTCACTTAATCGGTGTTTGATTGCGCAGAATCGATGCATCCAGACAATGAGTGGCTCAGAAAGGGCCAAATGCAAATCAGTAAAATAAGAATCGGCAAACAGACAGAATCAGGGAATCCCAATTTGGTGCCCCCTTTCCATCTTTTTAATTTATGGATTCTTTATTTTTTAAATGAGATGACTAGGGATAAACCATGCCGAAGATTCACACAGTTTTTTTTTCCTTTGCTTTTATTTATTTAAATATTGCTCGAGTTGAGCTGGGTGCCAAGAAATCACTATAGATGCTATTGTATAACCTTTTCTATTCAATTTAATCCTCCAGTTTTTTTTCATGTCAACATTTTCCTTTAATCTTAGTCGGTTTCCTAAATTAATATAATTTTCCATTTATATTAAGTTAGGAAACCGACTAAACGATGTTTTACACTAGAATCCTTCTTCGTACTTTACCATTAAACTGTCATTCAAAACTCCTAAACAATTACCAAAAGCCTCCATAGCTACCCATCATAATCTGTCCTTATCTAGTCACTCTAATCCTATTTTTGTTCTCCATTTTGGACATCTAAGGACTATTGTAAAGTCATCATCGTTAATTAAATCCTGTATCTCTATTTTTATTATCATTAACTCATTTTCACATTAAACATCTATACATAATTTAAATCAACAAAAAATTAAAGACAATAAAATTAGAGAATAATATGAGGATGAAAAATAAATTAAATAATTTTTTATAGGATAATGTTAGCATGAAAAAATGAACTCGGTTCTATCTGCTTAATTGGTTGTGTCAAGTTTCTATTGTTTAATGTCAATTTTTGGATGTCTCATAAGTATCTTTTTCTTCATCACTTCCCCAATTCAATTATTGTTTAGTTGATTTTCAACTGAGAGAATCACTTTTAATACAAGCCCCCAATCACTAGCTATATTGCACTCTGCTTTTACATTACCCCCGCTGCCCTATACGTTATGGCAACTAACAGACATATAAGATAGTAACAACTGAATTATATTTCTTTTTAGTAACTTAAAGAATATCCACAAATTTGTTAAACATACGAGGTGTAATAAAGAGTTGGAAAAAGACTGCTTGGTGAAGAAATATCGAACCTCCAGCAGTATTACACGCATCTGAACTTTGCACAGCTAAATGAACCACAAGCTAATTGGCTACCCAAGATGCTCATTTAATTGTGCCAATCTCTGCTAACTATAAACAAGTTAATAAAGGGGAAATCGATTTTATGCGGAATTTTTGTATGAACTGAAACGCCTTAAAGGAAGCGAAAAGGCTTGAATTATGACAAAGACCATGGGGGTGTACCAAAATACATGACCCTCATGGTATTCGTCCCCATGGCCTTGACAACACCCCCCCCCTCTTCCCCCTCTCCTACGCCCTCCAAAAATTGAAGCTGAAGTCCGGACATTTTAGTCCAAAGGTAAAATCCCCCTACTAACAACCACCTTTTTCAAAATACATGCTACACATACAATCTCGACCATCCTTAAGTACAAGAACAAGGGCTTTTCTGTAACCCCTCCCAGATTGCATTGCTAGATTCCCTTTGTCAGTGAATAACCCCAACAGATAACCTACTTACAACTACAAATGGAACAAATAAGTCAACTGGCTTGGTTGGACAAAACTATCCCCTCAGCATTACCACATGAAGTACTGCCAGCAGATGGCCAGTGAAGGGCCGCACTAGAAGCAGTGTTTGAACTCCACAAGGATGGAGCATTGCTCCGTGCAGTTTGATCAACCTGCAGATCAGCCTTAGCTAGCTCTGAAGACCCGTTCATCCGAGACATAATATTGGGAACTATCTCTGTATCAGCAGGAAGGAAATTGGCCTCGGCTTTACTCCTCTCATTGACACCATCTACATTCTTCTCACAAATACCTGAATATACCGATATGGAATGGCAATCTCCAGGATTTACGTTTGACTGTGGGTTGTGTAATTTGGCAGAACATAATTTCACTCCATCAGGATTTGTCAAACAAGTAACTCCAGAATTTTTGTTTTCACAACTAACAGGACAATCTTTGGATGGGGGAACTGCTTCACCAGAGGCACAATCACCCTTGGGTCTAGAATGACGACCACAAACATCGACAGATTCATCATGTACTTTTGATCCTATAAAGTTTGGTTGAACACAATCAATCTTGTTAGTCAGTCCACAACTGTCAGAAATACTATATGAATGCTGGTTAATACAGTCAGCAGAATCTTTTGAGTTCCTAGTACTAAACACAGTTTGTGAGTCAAGAGGAATGCTTTCAGCACCACAAGGTGCAGAGTTTTCAGCACTGTTGTTATTTGAGATAACCTCAAATGCTACTTTGACCTGATTCGTAAAGTTTTCAGTAACCTTCAGTGAAACGGTAACACGATGTCCTTCTTCAGTAGCTTCAGTGCTAATACAAGACACATTGAGACACGGTCTTCCGTCAGAAGGAACACAACAATTGTTCAGTTGGCTATCCAAATCTATAGGCTTCTCATCATGGTTCACCATGATGCAATCACAACTTGTATTCTTGTATGCAGTTATATCTTTAGTTTGGCAACACGTATCAGTCACATAATCACAGGTAATTTCAGTACTGTTGAGTTCCATCACCAAATTATCTTGAACAGGCAGACATACAACTTGACGTGTGTCATCTTTCACAGATTTCCTAAGATCTGAAGTGTTGCTAACAATGCCAGGTACATTATTTAATGAACCTTCAGGAAGATGAAAACCAGGTTCAGTAGATATGGTTTCATCATTTATCTGGCATGCACTAGAGGGAGCAATCTTAGTAAAGTTGATCAAATCAGATGCAGATGAACCCGCTCCATCACAATTATGTGCTATTTGATTCTTAAGATTGGAAACTGCAACAAAATGAACTGTGCAAAAATCAAGTTTAAATTTTCAGAGAAAAAGAATAGCAAGGATGTCTGTCTCCAGGCATACACAACCATATAAAAGGACATGCCAAGTGTCTAGGAAAAGTTACCCTCTGTGGGAATCAGATTTTCACCATCAAATTTATGTTCTGATATCTTCTTCTGTAACATATCTACATGAGGGAATACCAATAGATTCATTTTATTTACTATTTGCTTGCTAGTCAATTCAAGTGGCTGAAACCCAAAAACAGAAGTCCAAGTTTCTCTCAGTTCTGAGATAGCTGGTATGACCAATAACTCAACATTTAAAGACTTGAGTGCCTGGTACCAGAAAGAGAAAGAGAAGTTTCGAAGTCAGTGAAACAAAAGATCCAAGGAATCTACATGAAATGAAAAAGAAATTGAGAACAAAACGATAATCACTAACAAGACAAGTATCATCCATCAAAGTGCAACATAATCCTGTCCTATGATAAGACTAACCATACATTCTGGACCCTTAATTAAAAGATGAACTCCTATTGACTTTGCCAATTAGTTAATATGAGAAAATAAAAGTAAACTTTACTGACTAGTTAACTGTACTTTCTTTTTATGATTCAGTGCCATCTAATCACTGTTCATTGTGCATAAATATATTAAGATGAAAAAGCAAACAGATACTAAAACCTACTTTTATTTTCTCCACTTTCTAGTAAAAAAAAAAAAAAAAGCAACAGTAATATCAGCTCCGTTGTTGGTATTAGCAAATCATGTTCAATGTCCAATGTTTCTGCATCTAGCTAAAACAGTATCCCAGCCTTGAGATTTACTTTTTCAAAAGAAGTGACAACATAAATTTACCCATTCAATGGCATTTAGAAGCCGCCGGCACATTCCTTGTCGCCTATACATATAGCGTGTCCCAATAAATGGCATCTCTGCAAGTTGGTTCCCATGGATCCTATTTGATGAATTAAAGAAACATCATCAGAATTTTTAACCAGGAAGGAAGGGAGGAGGGAATTAAAGCTATGCAAATGAAATATTTTGCTATAGGACAGAAAACAGAGTCAATGGTTAAATGATATCATCACAGATGAACAAGGCAACATCACAAAACAAATCTGTCAAAATACAAAACAAGGTAAATATCCTACCAATAGGATGTTAATTAATGTCAAATTATGAAGGTTCTGCAATAGTAGTAAGTAAACCAAAATAGTTAATTGATGGCTAAGTTGCACAGATGAGTATGGGCTGCAGCCAAATTTCTAAAAGCTTGGATATGAGTAGTGGGATATATTAAATACAAATATAAAAAAAAAAATCATAACATAAATATTTTAATAATGTTCTAACTTGGACAAAAATATTTAGAGCCTGTTTGTAAAAGCTTACGTACAGCTCATATGTTTCTCGTAAGTTGTTTTCAGCTTATTTTCATAAGTTACTTGGTATAACTTATAAAAATAAGTTATTTTCAACTTATCCCAATAAATTTTTTCATTAAATTATAACACAAGTCATCATTTTAAAAAGAGTTTATTAAATAAGTGCAGTCAAATACCAAAGGAAACTAAATAATCATTTTGTTTGTCCTACAAAATATAGAATTCCATATCCAGTCTCCACTCTGCATGCACACATGCTTATTATTGACTGCTCATGAACACATCTATAAGCAAATCTAAAATTAAAGCAGACGTTCACCTGATAGATGCAGCAGATATGATCTCATCACCTCTCTCTAGAATTGCCGTAACAAATCCACTATAATCCAGACGTTTGAAGTTTGACCTGACAAAGATAATAAGCATGTTATTACTAGCATATATTAAACAAGAATAATTCCAACCCATCCTGATGCAATAGTTAATATTTAATCTATACATGAATTTACCATAATTTATTTGCTTAAATGTTAAAGCAAAAACTATGAAAATCATTTTAAAAAGAAAAAAATATAGTTATTAAACATGAGCATTGAAGAGGTCATGAATTACATAGAAATAATCTCAACAGAGACTGAATTGCTGAACATGAATCTACAAGATTTTTAATGCAATTTACTTAGTAAACTGTGGCCTATCAATTGTAGTCACTGGTCAGTGACACTAGTTTGCTGAACATTTGAAAACCCAGCTTTTGTTTTTCCGCATAGACAGATAGTATCACCATTGCACCTCAGCAATCAATTTAATCAGCAAAGATACCTGAACTACCAACTAAAAGAACTACACCTTCATGGTTATAACTTATAAGGCCACTCTTTCAAGTTGACCCCTATCAGAGAGATTGCTGATATGACCAAGAGCATTTACCACGATGCCAAAAGCTTAAGTTGTTAGCCAAGGTTCAATTTTTGACATATAACACCTTGCGTCAGAAGCAGACTGCTCCCTATTTAAGTCATTGGGCATGGGCCACTGGGTTGACCAAACTACAGGGGCAACATGTACCCTCACCAGCTCTAATACCAAATGATATGACCAAATGCACTACTAAGATACCAAAAGCTTAAGTTGTTTGCATAGGTGCAACTCTTCACATTCCCTGCATTAGACACAGGCCTTTCTTATTTAACTCATTTGGCATAGGCAACCAAGTTAAGCCCAACCAATAGAACCAATATGCACGCAACCCTATGACATATCAATTTCTCATGCTCACTTTGTACCCTAAGAAACTCTGGTACTCACAAAGAAGAAGCCCATAATTGCATATTTTACAAGCAGAAATTACCACTCGGCCACTCTAGAGTTTATTACTAAGACATAAATCTGCCATTTGATCTCAGACACTCTAGAGCAAATGCAGGATCTAGATAATGTCTTGCTGATAATGAATTTCCAGAAAAGGGAATGCATGATAGATCTCCAAGAACCCACGAATACAGCCGCGACAGAAAAACACTCTGCTATGCCAGATTTGTGGCAGCTGAAGTCCATTCTGCCATGCAACGCCACTATTGATAACTATGATTCACAGTTATTATGAATTTCCACCCAAGAACCCACAATAATTTAGTTTCACAGGAGTTGTCCAGAACTTTCATTCACAAATTATATGGTAATATCTTAATTCTTGTACTCTATTATTACAAAACTTTCAATGCTGATATAATAATGTATGTTACCCAATTACACACACATATCCAGTAAGTCATTATGCATAAATCAACCATGTGTTCCACCCAAAAGAAGTATTTAAAACAACAAAAAAGAAAGAGATCACGTGTTCTTACCCACAATTATACAGAATACTGTGGATCAGATTAACCCCACTTCTATGATCCATATATGGCATAAAGCACTCATCCATTATTGATAATGCAACAGCTAGTTTGGAATTGCATTCAACCATCTGAGGTTCTATCTGAGAAGCATCAAAGCCTACATCTGACCGCCGAATAAAAGTCCAAGAAAACCCATCTTCAATTTCATGTTTAACCCCAATGATCATTTCAAGTCTCTTGGATAACTGGAGTACAAATAACAAAACTTAGCTTGCTTACAGTGAGAGGAAAATGTCTACAAATTGAGCAGAACCATCAACCAGGAAGCAATAAATCATTAAAATTGTAGCCACTATTGCAATTCAAAATCTTAGCACAATTCAATTACTACAGAATAACCAGACATCAACCAGTACATGCAGCATCAAGATTCAAGAACATGAAAAAATAGATCACACCTCTTGACAGCTATTCCCACAACAGAAGACATCCCTGGAATCATCAGTGTTTGCACTATTTGCCTCAATACAGGACCTGTGATCTACAAGGGATAAAAATTTGCATTCATTTCAATCAGGGAAAAGCTACTCCAATTGAGAATGAGTGTCTAATTAACAAAAGGTTATATGTACACAAAGGCCATACATTTTTCCTCACATAACTGGCAGGTGAGTAATTTTGACACGGTAAGTTCATCATGGCCATCCCTATGGTTTGAACTTCCACCAACCAACCCACAAAATTTGCAACAGCAATAAATGCAGTGCCAGTCACCAGATGGGAACTTCTGCAAGCAAAATAAACAGATGCTTTATTTTTCAATACAGATATTAAGTTATACTATTTTCTGTATGTAGATATATCATGGATACATCTGAAAACTGAAGATATATATATATATAGAAAACTTGAGATAGTTATATCTGCATACAGAAAATCTTTTTGTTATATATATATATATATATATATATAACAAAAAGATTTTCTATATGCAGATATAACTATCTCAAGTTTTCTAATCATGAATATCTTACTATCAGTGGGTGATAATTAGGTGTTTGTTAGGTAGTAACCCATCTAAGCCACAAGACAAACAATCAATGCTGGATAATAACTGATGAGCAAGAAAGTATATTTTGTGCCTCCTGTCCAAACATGCGGACCCCAGATATCTTTCATGTTTTAAAAAAGAGAACATATGAGAATTAAGAAGCAAAGAGAAAAAAAACAGACACTTATGTTCAGAAAGCCCAAAAAAGTTGCACCAAGTTAACAGAAATTCAAGTCCTGTATCTGTAATAAGACAATAAATGAGAAGGGACAACTGGATAATTCATAACAATGAGTTATCTATCCTGATAAGAAATTCACAATGCAAGAGTTCAATCATGACCATTTAGACAAAAATCAATTAAAAAGTCCCTGTAACCTCGTATAAGATACATACTTTTATGTCCAAGCAACCTTGATGGAATGTTGATGGGCAACCATCACAACATATCAGATCTCCACCATCTCCACAGACACCACATGTATCATCATTTGGATCTTGACCTGCTACATCAACAAAATGAAAACCTTTTCGTTCTGATTCATCTTGCTTATTCCATGAATCTAGCAAGCATTGTAAAAGGGAAGTTCCTTCCTCTATAAATATATTTTTAAGAGGATCAGAGAGTTTGCTTCCTGCATGAACTTCAAAGTCTGAAATTGTAACAATTTTATTACAGCAGCCACAATGAATGCCATCTCCTGTGATTGTACCATCCAGTGCTGCACTGTTCCTTTTGTTTTGCATATAATGAACCTTCCCATTTTGAAGGACTGTGCCCAAATCAATCATCCAGGCAAGCAAAGTTCGTTTTCCACTGTACAGTACATATCCCTCAGTTTCGGAATCTATCTCCTCCTCAGCATTGCGAACCAGCAGAGCACATTGCTTCTTGTTTTGTGTTTTGTATCGCTTATGATCCCTCACTAGAACTGGCATCCTGTTAGCTGATGTAACATCTGTGTTGCCAAGTGACCATTTCCTTTTAATTTTCCTCGTCCCTGACTTGCCCATGTCTGCAGCAGAACCTGATTTTTGTATATTCTCTTTACTATTGACTCCATAAACTTTCTTACCACCCTTTCCCCCCCTTTTTACCAATTTACATTTACTTTTCCTTTGCTTGTTAATTACCTTTGTTAGTATTTTGAAATCCTCTTCTGGTATTGGTGTAAATTTGAAACCTGGCCTATATACCTTACCTTCACCATCACCAGCTTCATAATGCTCTCTAAGCCTATTGTAGGCCAAGGTGATTGACCAGTGTGTCCTTCCATCAAGACTAACATACACTGCATCATTGTACTCTCTGCCATTCCTGGGTCTATAGTCAACTTTCCAGCCTGCAGCTGAGAGCCGTTCCATTATTTGATCCCTCACTAACTGTTTTACTTTATTCTTTCCATTTTTCTCAGCAATAAAAGCATTCACTGGACTTGATATTGATGGTGAGGCCACCACATTGTTCTCAGTCTTCAAAACCTTACTAATTTTATTCTTCTTGACAGGAGAAAATCCTTTCTTTTCTAACTCATTCCCAGCAGATTTCCTTGAATATGTATCATCAATTGCATTCACATTAGCACCATCTCTCACAGTGAAACCTTTTCTACCTATCCGAAGGCCTGCCCTTCCTTTTCTTTTATGTGCAACCACTGTCACAAGATGGTTTTGTTGGCCAGCCTTGGGTGGTCTTCCACGCTTTCGTGGAGACTGAATAGCAAGTTGATCTTGCTCTTTCAACTCCATTTTGGGAGGCCTCCCACGCTTCCGTTTCAAATTCCTCTTGCCATTCCCTTCCTTCACCTTAACCCTTTCATTCTCATAACTGTCAGCAAAAAAATCATCAGTCTCTTCATACTCCTTCTTAACTTTTATCCTCTCAAACCCACAATGTCCTTTATTATTTCCAGAAAAGACCTCACCATTCTCTTCACTAGACAATCTTGTATCATCCACCCTCCTTGACCTCGATCGCAACACTCGACCACCAATCAACATTGCATCATTTGATCCGTGTTCCTTCTTCGCCTTCCTATCAACATCAGCAACTACAATGCTACCCCCACCATTAAAACAACTACTGCTGTCATTCTCAGCTAAGCCAACATTACCACTGGAACTCACATCCAAATCCAAGTCACATTCTACTTTTACAGCACGATCAACACCACCCTTATTCTCAATCGTTAAGTCCGGCACCTCTAAACCCTCACCACCCAAATTAAAGGCCTCATTCTTTACACCACCCCCTTCCTTGTGGACAACTCCACCACCCCCAGAAACCTTCTCCAATCGAGTCTGAGATCTCAGCCCCTCCCTCATTTCACACGGAACCCTAATTCCACAAACACCATGTAACTAGGGTAAACCAAAAGGAAAACCAATAGCATAAAACACTCATTCCATTCTAACCTGAAAAGCTACAGGTACAGTGCAGATGAAGCAAAATCCAGGTAAGGTTGCATATTCCAATAGACCTCTTAAAATCAGAGTATTGGTATCAAAACGCAAGTCGTTAAAGGGAAATCAAAGAGAAGGATCAGATCAACTCGAAACAGTAGGAAAGGCTTGTAAGCTTACCAATGTGTGATGGATTGCAGGGAATTTTAAAGGACGGTGGAGTCCATGCGACGGGTCGTTTGGTTGGGTAGCAGAAAAAGAGGCATGGCGTGGGAAGGTGGTTTTGGAATTCGAGGTTTTAGAGCGAGAAACAAACAAATAGAGAGAGACAGGCAGAGGGGTTTAGGGAGTGAGTGAGGAGACGCACAATACAAATAAACTACGGAGAGCGTGTTCACAGTTTTATTCAACGCTTTATTTTCTTTTCTTTGATTTTCACATACTTTTATGATTTTTTGAAACAATTGGCTAATCAAGGACACTGATAAAAAGGAGATATTTAATAAAGGAAAGTATTAATTAATATTTTAAAAATACACACTAAATAATGAGAAATATTTTTTTCATTAGAAGTAAATATGATAATATTTTGTAAATATTTTTTTATGCTATTATCTAATTAGTAAAAATAATTATTTTAGTTAATATTTAAACATTTAATAGTTTTGAATTATTAAGGGATGTCTATAAAATGAGTTTGATTCCTTTTAATCTTATTTAAAAATATAAAAAGATAATATTTTATTAAAAATGTTTATTATATTAAAGATATGACATTATAATAAAAAAAATGGTTATTATTTTAATTAAATAACTTAATTTTAAAAATTGAAGTTAATATTTTTTAAATCATTAACATATTTTGATATTTAAAAATATAATTTAATTTTTTTTACAAAGTAAAATTAATGACTATTTTTCAAAAAGATAAAAATAAGCAGTATTTTAGTTGGAAATAGAACCGTGTCATAATTTGCGTGGCGATAGTCTTCGTTTCACACTTGGCTTTATTATGGGGTTATTATCCAAAACCTGAAACGTTGCCCTATTTTCTGCTGTCCTTTATTTGGGCAAGTGCAGAGGGTGTGTCCAAGAACCTTCTACCTTCCCTTCCAGACACTGCCATATTTATGTCTTTCCTCTTTTGTATTTGATAACCATACTCTCATATAGCATACCAAAGGTTTGGGAAGTGGAAGTGAAAGTGCCTCTCAAATCACCCTTCCATATACAACTCTATTTAAATCAAATTTCATTCCTCTCAATTAAGTCTAAGAAAAAATATGTAAAATAAAAAAATATTTTTTTAGCTTGTGCATAATAAAAATTTATTATATGTATACATTTTTATTTGTACAGTTCTGTACAAGATAAAAAAAAATCAAATAAAGAAATTAGCCTATTTCTAAACATATAATTCATTAATTAAAATATATTATATTAACTATTATTAATTCATTAGATCTTATGTTGAATTAAAAAATTTATTGTATATGAATTTTTATTATGTCTTATTAAATATATGTCAAAAAATTAGATAAAATAAAAATATATTCAAATTAATATAAAATAAACTAAATTTATAAATATTTTTATTTAAATTATTTATCCATATATTTTTTCACACTAGAATATTAAATCCTGACCAAATTTCATGACAAAACTCACCTCCGTGGCTCTTGGACACTGAGCAAATTACATATTAAGCTAAAAAAATTATATTATTACTTGCATTTTTTATATATTTTTTCTGTAACTAGAAAAGCTATATATATAAAAAATAAAAGTGTTAAGAATAAAAAAAACTTTATTGACTAACATATGCCCACATCCAATTAATCATAAACAAAGAAAACAAAATCAATTATTTTATAAAAATATGAATTTGGTTCTTCCCTTTAATGGAAAAGAGTAATAACACTTTCGTCATTATAAAATTCACATCAGAATATTTCAAATTCTTTTAAAAAAATGTGCCATGACAAAAAAAAGCCATTTCAAACCTACTTTTTCAGAATGCCATAAAAGAATAGGATCATTTGTATTAAAATGATCCAAACTGAAGAACTTCAACAGTCGAGGCTTGAATCACCTTATAGATGGAAGCTAAAATATGAACTGAATCAGATACCCTACTGACATATATTGTAAATATCAAAATTCAGAAATCAGGTTGCCAACTGACGACAATCCTCTGTGATCAGTAACAGGTCAATCTCAATCACCTCAAACCATAATCTTCCCCCTCATGATAAATATTTGAAAAGTGATCATTTTTATTAATCCATAAGTGGTAACATGTATTACAGAAAATAAAAATTTACAGTTAAATCAAACTGTGTTATATCATGAACCATGAACCACTCCTCTCAAAGTACATAATATATACTTGAAGGGACTTATTTGCTTGTGTATGTATGTTTTGGCCATCCATAGACGAAAGCTTCAGTCCTCAGTATGTACTAAGAGGGTGCATTGGTTATTTTGTTACTTAGCATTCTTCTGCCTGTGAAGTTATCTAATACTAAACATACTCTTTTACTTGTTGTGAGTGCCGAATCTTCATTCCTTAGTCATAAATGTTCCATGGAACATACAGGTAAAAAACCAGGTGAAGATCACATAAAGTGATGGTATATATTTACATGAAAGAGAGCTATATTAATATTTTCTCTCTGATATTAACTATATACTGTAAGGTAAGGTAAAATGAGACTGGCCTCAAATCATTTATTCATTTTGACTTCAAAGATTTGGAGGCTGTGCCTGACTCAACCAATATTGACCAGAGAACATGCACATCTTCGTATTGACAAGACTTCACATCCTTGTATAGGATGTATATCCCTCTACCTGTTGCACAAAAAACCAAAATTAATATTCAGTGTGTCATTCTACAGTGTGTGGATTTGTGATATGAATGATGAACATTTTGAATATAGAATGAGAAATAAATGACATAAGAATGAAAACAATGTCCATGCAAAACAATAGCAAATTGCATGATGATACTTAGAGCTCAAAAAGATGAACAAATAAGACATGTAATGACAATTGCATAGTAAAGATGGAATCATGTTATGTCTAATATGGAAGTCAAAGACTAAAATTGCAAGTTTTTACGCTTTCTGTGGCTTGAATGAAGACGATCCCAGAGCTTCTTCAGTGGGAAGATGAGGGACTGAAGCCATCCCATTTGGTGACGAACTAGTACTTTTGGTTCATGGTAGGTGAAAGGTGGGAGGAAAATGGAGACAATTTTAAATGGTTTGGAGAAGAGTGACTTGTATATCACTGTTTCTTGTGTGATTCTCAAAATTCCTTTTCAATGCAATCATGCAAGAAAAACATGCCCACTTGGTGCCATGTCTTTGTCACACACAATACTTTCTCCTCAAGGAAGGAACTAATAAAACACCTAATAGGCCAACAATGTACCAAGCAAAAAGTAAACCTTTGTCAGGACATTCACACCTCAAAAAAATTTCTGTTTACAAATAAAATTGTATGTGAAGCCAATGGTTCTATGAATTAATGTCCACGCATTTGGTGGGTTTTCTAATCTCTTCAAGTTTAGCCATATTGGTTAATTGAAATGTATCTATCTTCTGGACGACATAATTGTGTGCAAGAGAAAATGTAGAATCCTTGTTGCATAATTGAAATTAAACCTTCAAATCCATAGACGAGTTTGAAGTCACCAAGTATTTTTTTTTTATTCTTTTAACTATTTATGTTTCTCTACAGAGGAAACAGTTCCAACTTGTGAGTGAACAATTAAAAAGACATCAGGGGATAAACAAGAAAACTTTTTGTCTTGTGATTAAATATGTGTAACAAAGCTACTTGGGTATCTTCAGAAAAGGCTTACTTAGACCCAAATGTCAAATATATTCTAACAGTTTAAAATTAATTTTATTCAATGTTAAACTAAATGGATACTTAATCTCTTCCTTGAACATAATGCTGGCTAATAGTTCACAGATTTCTAGACGAAAATGTGCAGTTGATATGTCAAGATAATCTCAGCAAGACTTTCCTTCTTCCTTCAAAGCTCTTCTAATTTTTCTTTTAACGAAGAAAAAAATGTCAAGACTTACTATGCAAGATTTTGTTAAAAAATCAATTATGATCGCTATCTTACAAACGAAACACTATTTTCGTGTGGCGTAAATGCAAAGACATATAGTAAAATATATAAAACGTGATAAATTAGCTAGTGTGGTTGCAATGTTGTGTTTTAGGTGTCAAACTTGGCATTGGGGTTCAATCGAAAAGACAACAATTGTTTCAAACAGTCTCACAAGCGTGAATATATAATTATAGGTAATTTAAAAATAAGTACTTGGCCTTAGTATCATTCAATAAGTTATAGAAAAATGAAAGGATTATTATTAAATAATAAATTTATCTTGTAACTAATGTTGGCTTGCAATCTTTCTCGTTCCGCATGTCTATCATAGAGTTTTTTTTTTTTTTTCATTAAACACCTAAGGAGTCAATGGAGAGGCATGTCAAATAATTTTTTTATCATTATATTTTGGAAAAAATGGGTTTAATTTTTTTTTATTTAGATAGTTATTTATTAAATAATTATTTAAGAGAGTTTTTAGAAGAGAAGAGAGAAAAAAAAATTTAATTTTAAATTTAAAAAATTATATATTTTAATGAATACATAATTAATATATTAATTATATATTTTATTTTAAAAATATTAATTTTAAATATATTTATTTAAAATAAAAAATTTGTTTTCATCTACTTTCTCCTTTAAAATTCTTTATTCTTAAACCACCCCTAAAAGCTATAGAATAGTAACATATCAGTCTTTTTAAAATAAGTGACCCAACTTTTGTAAAAGTATAATTTAGTGTAAAAACACATAAAAATGTGTTTTTGTAATAATTAACCTTTTAAAAAGTCCAATAAAACTGTTTTTAAATATATAATTTCAAGACATTGCATCAATTCCAGAAACAAACACCAGGGTAAAAAATAATACAATAATAATAATTTATTCAAATAAAATCATTTGTTAAATCTAAACAATTTTTCATGTCATAAAATCTAATATTTTTCACTGGTGACAGCTGATAAGAGACAACCAAGTATGACTTCCATATTATTATTTCTAATTAAATTAAATTAAATCCATATAGAAATCAAGCAAGTTGTTCATTTGGGCTTGTCACACTTTTGAACGACCTACCACTATACTGTTTATTGTAACCATTTAAAAGCCGGCAGCATTAAATACTGAAATGGTAAGACTTCAGATTTTTTAACTCTTCAAATTAAATAGTCCAACATAATTACATCCTAGGACAAAGATTAAATTATATATATATATATATATATATATATATATATATATATATATAGAGAGAGAGAGAGAGAGAGAGAGAGAGAGAGAG